TACATGTTAATAACTTGATTGGAATTATAACCTTGAATTGACAGTTTGATACTTTGAAAATTTTGAGCCAGCCCTACCCCCAAGGGCTGTAGGTGCTAGTTTCAAATCCTTTTTAGTCTGAAATCTGTATGCTAGATATTGAGTAAGGTGGTTTTATTGTTTTTTGTCACTTTGAATAATATTTCTGTTCATGTTAAAAACAAAATCAACTCTCTGTATAAATATATCAGGTGACCGTTAAGGCCCATGGGCCTCTTGTTTATTTTTGCTTGCTAGAGGCTCGCTAAATTGAAAAATTCTTAGACTCGGTTCATAAATCTCACATGAAATTGAAACTCATGTAATATCCTAGATATCATGTTGGGTGTGTAAATAATAAATACTCTCATGTAACACATCTTGCTGCATATTTTAAATTAGGTAGCTTTGATTTTGTAAATTTTTGAGTTCTGGTGTTGGGATTCAAATAAGTGATTAACTATGTATTGACAAAAAGTACATTGACAAAATTTGGTAAATCATAATTGTGATGGGTGTGTAATTAAGTAATTACTGTTATCATGTAACACATCTTGCTGCATATTTTAAATTAGGTAGCTTTGATTGTAATTTTTTGAGTTCAGGTGTTGGGATTCAAGTAAGTGATTAACTGTATATATATCAACAAAAAGTTCATAAACAAAATTTGGTAAATCATAATTGTGATAGGTGTGTAGATACTTAATGTGTCCGGTAACATATCTTACTGTATATTCTGAATTAGGAAGCTTTGGTCTTCTTTTTTTTAGTTCTTTGAGATAAAGATCATTTGTTAAAATATCTTCTTGTTAAATTTTATAATTCTCTTAAATAAATTCTATTAATTAATGAACAGCACTTATATAATATTTCAAATTTTACACATTTGCATTTTTACTCAGTAAAATCAATATAACAAATCATGTTCTGAGTTAATAGTACATTTTGTATATTATAGAGTGGCTAACATTGAAGCCTGTTTTCTCGGGTCAGCTCAAAAAAATATGGCACAGATCAAAACTGAGATGATGAGGTAAGTAGGGCTGATGGAATCTCCTTACTGATGCTATAATGACATAGTGTGGTATCTTTATATACCCGTCAGAAATGTTGACGGGATGTAGGACGTATTATCAGAGTATGGTATTAGGAGTGTTGGTCTGTTCACACTTTGGTTTTCACAAGATCACTTGCTTAAGTCATTCAGCTCTGAAATTTCATAATGAACTATTCCACCTTTGAATGGGAAGGGTTCAAATGTGTCTGCAGGGGGGAATGAGTTAAAATATTTGAATTTGATGAAACTTGGTAAGCATGTACAATATACAAAGATTGTGGCTAAGATGGAAGTTAAGCAACATCCATGCGTGATTATTAAACTGTGCTCTGATAGGTCAATGTGTGGTACTCTTGTTCAGTTTGAGATCAAAATCACTGACCGTAGTTATAACCATGATGTTGATGAGTTCCCTTAGTGTAATGTCAGTTGGTATATAAAAGTTCCAGTTATAAAGTATTTGCACTTTAATTATAAGCATTACATTTGCTACAGAACGTCACAGATGACTTGAGTTCAGCTATGTATTAAAATTATTTTCTTCTCGTTACAACATTTAGAGGGAAGTACCGTCTTGTATACATCACACCCGAGTTTGCAGATGCTGCTACAGACGTCTTACACAATCTAGACAGGGCTGTCGGTAAGTCTTAACACGGTTTTCTCCCAACCTTCACAGGTGTGACTCCCTTTAAAGCTGGGAAAGATCAGCTTGTCACCTCTTAGGGGGAGATAGCTTCTTGCAGAATGGCGTGATCCAAGTCATAACAATAGTATGACGTCACGTCATCAATGATTTGATGTCACGTCAACAGTATCAGACCATGGAAGATAACTCTGAATTTGCTGCAAAAACATGCCATCAACGCTTATATTTCATTCAATCACCGCTTGTCGGCGGATTTGTGAGTGAAACAGGATTTGAAAAACAATTATCCCCTATCTTGAGGGTGTGACAGAGAATATCATCCCTCAGGTAGGAGATTTCTCTGTTGCACCCTCAAGGTAGGGGAAGATTCTGTTAGTTATAGAACTTTAACACCGAAGCTCTGGGGAGGTATACAGTAAAATGTTATGGAGTGCAATAAGGTTGGAGAAAAGAAATATCCTTGAACTTTATTTTAGTCTACAGGAGTCAAGGTTGTTAAAACACTCAAGTTATTATGGCTAAATAAAGGAAAGGTGTAAAGTCATGATATTTTGCCTGTAGCTTGTTTGAATGGAGAGCAACAAAGTTTATGAAAGAAAAATAACCTTGATACATCTTTAAGGTCATGAGAGTATAATTTGTTAACATGCTCAGATGACTTAAGGCTTAAGATCATGATATTTGGTCAGTAGTTGGTTGGCATGAATGGCTATAAAGTAAAAATAAAAAAAGGCTGCACAAGTCAAGTGAGCATTTTAGGCCCTTTGAGCCTCTTGTGTTCAATTCTGAATATTGTAAATTTTGTCTGATGAAGGTGACAGAGTACATACCACACTTGTCATGGAGACATCACATAGAAACATTTATTGGTTGTGTTACAAGAAACGTTTCGTAATCAGTTCAATATTGTTTAAATCTGGCACATTTTTATATCACTGCAGGCATTGATCTGATCGCCATAGACGAAGCCCACTGTGTCAGCCAGTGGGGCCACGACTTCCGTTCAGCCTACAGATCCCTAGGGAAGTTACGTAACTCCTTCCCAAAGGTAAGTAACCCTGAACAGGTTTCGATGTAGGGGTAACAACAGGTCACCAGGTCAGCTTCTTTGCAAAAGTGAAAACAATTACTGAGCTTGTTTTACATAAAAGGGTAAACTTGGTTTTGTAACCCCTTTTCACTGAACATGTTTTGATATAGGGGTCAACTATAGGTCACAAGATCAGCTCCTTTGCAAAAAAAAATATATAAAATCTGAGCTTGCTTTACATAAAAAAGTAAACTTGGCTTTGTAACCTCTTTCCAAAATTAAGAAATACTGAGCATTCTTCACATTTAGAGGTTGGTTACAGGTCAGTAGGTTAAAGGGATACTCCTTCCAAAAATTAACAAGAACTGAGCATGTTTTATGCAGGAGTATACTATAGGTTGAAGGTTGGACTCTTAACTCCTTCAAAAACAAACTGAGCGAGTTTAATACATTAAGGGTCAACAACAGATTGTTAGGTCAACTTTAGATCTGTAACTCATGACCACTTTAAAAGTAGCTGTGTAGTTTTAAATTGTATTGCCTGCAAAGTAAAGGGGACATAAAAGGACCTATCTGTCGTCAGCATCATCAACACAAATGGTTTCTGTGCAAATTATCCTTAAGGAATGCATTGAATTTTATGAAAGTTTTACTCATACCAACAGTATAAATACCCTAGCTTGTATACCGTAAAAACCTGTGTAATCTGTTGTGTCCAAGATGGTCTGCCAGAATCGTCGATCTCTTCATGGAAAAAAATCCTTGAAATTGCTTACACTTACAGTATGTATTTTGAGCACCCCCCACTTTGGGCATTAAATTTCTTTAAAAAATGAGTTTTTAAGGTAAATATGATTTTTAACCAAATCTGAATATCAACATGGCCACCAGCGGCTGTTCCATGATTTTGTGAAAAGTCACATGGTTTCTGTGCTATTACTCTTGTAGGAATGCTTATGAAATTTTCAACACATACCTGTATAATCAATAACCCACCTAATTTCTGATTTCTGCCAGTGCCATCTTAGATTTGTACAAATATTGCTCCGAACTATATCTTTTATAGCAGAAATCAATAACCCACATCAATTCAGATTTCTGACAATGCCATCTTTGATTTGTACAAATATGATTCCAGAAATTATCAGATTTTACTAAGCTTTCTGTAACCAACTTCCTCAATCAAGTCTGCTACTCAGCCAAGTTCAAGCCTATTTAATGAGGTTGCCACGATCTGATTGGCTGATGAATTTCCAGATGATATCTTTTGAAGAAATAATTTTCATGAAGCTGGGCTGGTCAACTCTCTTCCAAAGTTCATCTTTAGTAAAGTCTGATGCTCAGCAATTTTATGGATATTTAATTGGGCTGTTGTAATATGATTGGCTTATAGTTTCCAAATGATGTTTTTTTTGGAAGGAATTATCAGATTGCAATAACAATTTATTTTTCAAATATAATATATTTCATTCCTTCAACATGGGTAAGCTATAATCAGTTATCATTCACCCAAAGCCGGAGCTGGTGACATACCTCACTTCTGTGGAATTTTTGTGCATAATCATATAAGAGTAAAGCACAGTTCATTGGATCACTCCATTAGCACGTTTACCTATGGAAGTAACTCTTGGTCAGTTGATAATGAGTCCACTTCAGGGAATTTGGTCTGTAACTCTCACCACAAATTAAGTTACAATATGTCACAGACGATTAATACTCTTTAGGAGTTAAATTTGAAATGACAAATCTTGGGGCAGTATTATTGGTAGATATTTTCTTATTTCATGCAATGAATATATCAATAACAGGTGCCCATCATGGCTCTGACAGCAACAGCCACTCCTGAAGTGAGACGAGACATCTGTAAAAGTCTTAACCTCCGAAACCCAATCCCAGTCTGCACAGGATTTGACAGGTAAGCAATTTTCTTCAGCAACCGTTCCAGCTGTGATATCCATCAGACCTGAATATAATTCAAATAAAGACAACCAAGGAAAAGTTAAAAAACGATTTAAAGTTATATTTGCCTGATCGACAATGATATATGTTAAACTAATTAGCATATGCTGTACATCAAGCATCTAAAGCCATTTTGCCACCTGTTAACTTTTTTGGGGCAAGTTTTTGAAATGCTTCTAACTCCAAATGTATGCATTATTTGCGATATAGTCATAAAAATCTTGAAAACTACTACATGTATTTAGCTTCTCAACTCTTAAGGAAGATACCTGTTTATTTCAGACCAAACCTGTATTTTTCTGTGAGTGCCAAAAACAATCCGATTGAAGACATCCGTTCCCAGATGACAAAGAAGGGCTCGCGGTATGAGTTTGATGGTCCAACTATAATATACTGTCCTACCAAGAAAACCACTATGGAAGTAGCAGGCCATGTGTCGGGTATGTATTAGTTACACAGTCAGGTGCTACCTCTAAATGGGTTTTCCAGAATTTGATGTACATCTTAGGGCAACAAACATGATACTAGTTAATTATTCTTCACTCCACTTGTTCCAGTCTACTCAGCTGTAAATAAGTATGTGGTTTGGCAGTGCTAGAACTGTTGAATGCTAGCTGTGAGCGCCAAAATGGCAGCACTGGCTGTATGCTCCCCAGGGAGTTGAGAAAGAGGTTGGCTGGTTGCGAAGGCCCGATAACCTTGGATAATGATTTGTTACCACTTTGAGACAACCTACAAATGGTTGTGATAAAGCGGTATATAAGACCCTCCAATTATTGTTATTATTACAAAATGTGGTTGGTTTTGTTTTTCAGCCATGCGAGTCCCATGTTTACCGTATCATGCCGGTCTCCCACAGAATGCCAGGGATGAAGCTCACCACAAGTTTGTAAACGACAAGATTCAGGTACAAAGTAATGGTATTGCTGTGTCTGATGATCTTTGTAAATGGGTGACCACTAAGTTACCTCCCTTCGTCAAATTCAAAATTTAATGTTGCCCACTGGACTTGACTTGGGGCCTGTTCATTTATGTAAAACAACTGGTTCGTCGTTTTTAAATGTATTTGTCGAGTATAACTCCTGACAGACCTGCAAGTGTTTATGCAGGCCTTGTAAGGCTTTGTCAAGGCTCACCTGAAAGTAGCATCAGATTACTAGGTCTGACCTTAAGGTCAAAATGTTTGGATCGTGATAAACGGAAGCGGCCTAGGAGTCAATACTTCAATGTTTTAATGGTAGAATCTGCATGTCAAGGGATTAATCCTCAGTTAATCTGAGATAAGGTCCTCAATTCCTGAACTTTGATTGGCTAAGACATGGTCATGTACGAGGCAATATTTCAGTTTATTAACTTTGTGTTACTACTTAAGCAAGTGTGTAGTTTCTCTGTAGTGCCATTTTACTTGTATTTCAGTGAATATGTGACCTGGAAAGTGATATTAACCTAAACTTTGTCTCAATCAATATTGCTTTCTCGGTTCCATATAACCACATATTCACCTTAATAAAAGTTCATAATTGATAATTATTTACATAAAAAGTTGGATTCTTGCTTTATATTTTCACTAACAAACTATTTTGTTAATACAGTCGTCTTTGTTTACTAGGTTGTAGTTGCCACGGTAGCGCTTGGTATACAGTCGTCTTTGTTTACTAGGTTGTAGTTGCCACGGTAGCGCTTGGTATACAGTCGTCTTTGTTTACTAGGTTGTAGTACTGCCACGGTAGCGTTTGGTATACAGTCGTCTTTGTTTACTAGGTTGTAGTACTGCCACGGTAGCGTTTGGTATACAGTCGTCTTTGTTTACTAGGTTGTAGTTGCTACGGTAGCGTTTGGTATGGGGATTGACAAGCCAGATGTTCGTAAGGTCATTCACTATGGAGGTGAGTTGATGTTGTTTGAGAGAAAGAAAAAAATATATATATATATATATGCCACAAAATACCAAACATACAAAGATACATATTACCATACTGTGGCACTGTAAATTGCTTGTTTCACACTCACTTAAATCTGCAACCTTATTTCATTCACAATGAATATGATTCTAATTAATTAACTACCCGGTAATGTGTAAATAACCATGTAGATCATTCTTGTTGCAATAATTTAGGTAGATAACTCTATCAAAATCACATCCACAGTATAATGTTTGAGGAAGTATATACCTGTAAATCAAAGGCTGTTTTATGAAATGAATGGATATCATGTGTTATGATAATCTCTCTGTCTTTCTAGCACCTAAGGACATTGAGTCTTATTATCAGGAAGTTGGTCGTGCTGGCAGGGATGGATTTCCAAGTCTGTGTCATGTTTTCTTCTCCAACGGTGATTTCAACACTAGCAGGTAGGGGCTCTGTGTATCAAAATGCCATCTTCAATTTGGACTTCAGTAAGCAAGAGGTTATATTCAACTGCCAACATTCAACAAACTGACTTAACCACATCTTGCTGTCTGCACTGTGTCGGTTGTTGATAGAGTATTTCCCCGACCTTGAGAGTAAAATAGAAAAATCTCAATCCAAAAGGTAAGATTCTTAAATGTCTAGCCCAAGGCTTTGCAGAGGGCCATACATTTAAGAATTTTACCTAGTGGGTGTAGATTTTCTGTCCTACTTTCACAGTAAGGAATGATAATTTTATTCCATCCTCAAACCAAGAGTAGTTGAATGAAATGTTGATTGCTTGGTCTTTCAGCAAACTTAATAGTATACCTGCCGTAATCTGCTATTGTTGATGTGATTTGATACAATTGATATGAATTGGAATTACTGGTACCCTCATCTTTTACCAAGGGTAAAACAGAAAAATCTTTCATCGACTGACGTGTAGATATCTCTGTCTAATGGGAGAGATATTAGGGTCTCTGATAATCTGGTTTTCCCCTATTTTTCAGACATTTTATAAACGATATGAAAAATCAAGGATTCAAAGAACACAAGATGAAGATGCTCCACAAGATGCAACAGTACCTGAGCATTGTGGGGAAATGTCGCCGCAGGTATGTGTAAATATAGTTACCTGTGTATTGTGGGGAAATGTCGCCGCAGGTATGTCTAAATATAGTCTTACCTGTGTATTGTGGGGAAATGGCGCCGCAGGTATGTGTAAATATAGTTACCTGTGTATTGTGGGGAAAAGTCGCCCCAGGTATGTCTAAATATAGTCTTACCTGTGTATTCTGGGGAAATGTCGCCCCAGGTATGTCTAAATATAGTCTTGCCTGTGTATTGTGGGGAAATGTCGCCCCAGGTATATCTAAATATAGTCTTACCTGTGTATTGTGGGGAAATGGCGCCCCAGGTATGTCTAAATATAGTCTTACCTGTGGGTTGTGGGGAAATGTCGCCCCAGGTATGTCTAAATATAGTCTTGCCTGTGTATTGTGGGGAAATGTCGCCCCAGGTATGTCTCAATATAGTCTTACCTGTGTATTGTGGGGAAATGTCGCCGCAGGTATGTGTAAATATAGTTACCTGTGTATTGTGGGGAAATGTCGCCCCAGGTATGTCTAAATATAGTCTTACCTGTGTATTGTGGGGAAATGTTACTACACATATGTCTAAATATAGCAGTACCTGTGTATTGTGGGAAATGTAGAATAAGTGGTTGTTCTTTGTACCATTTTTGGTACATACATTACGTTACATTTATGTAATAAGATACTTGGGGCTGTTCCAGAAAAAAAGACATCCCCCCCCTGGGACGGCAAACTTTTTTTGTTAACGTGGGTGGTTGAACATTGAATAAAATCGTAGTTATTGGTTGTTGTTGTTGTTGTATTTTCGTTTCTGTGGGTCGTTGTACGTTGGAGAAATAAAAAAAAATATTTAAAAAATAAATAAAACCTGATTAATTAATTTACATGGTGGTGTGATATGAAAATATCTGGTTGAAGCTCGGATGGAGATTTGCGTTATTGAAATACGTGCTGAAACTTTGGCAGCGTGACATTACTGTATCGCGTGCAAGTCGCTTCCGGTATGTGGGTCAAGGGAATCTTGATAGAGGGCGCTGTTATCACTCTTCACAAAAATGGCTGCCCATTCGCGTCTTGTGACAGATTTCCTGCATTACTGTCCAAACAAGGAGTTGCTCCTTCAAAATTATAATTGCTGTGTAGTGTGTACAGGTCTGGCAGTTCACATTTACAGGTAATAGATGTACTCTTAAAAGGTCAAATAAAGTAACTATAATAACATGCGGACAGGCAATGAACATGTATGTAGATTTTCACCAGAAATGCAAAGTCATGATCCACCTATAATAAAATTTTAGTTAATTAATGCAGAAAGTCAAAACAAGTGAAATCTGCTTCTGACACCATATTGGATCATTTCGTCCATTTATGACTCGTCAATGGTACTTAATTAAAAGGTCAAAAGTATGAAACTCTAAACTCTATATAGCCACTACCAAAAGAAAACCCATTGCAGACAATTTATATTACATATGTATATGCATATAGGTATTGGTAAAACTAAAGGAAGTAAGTATGAAGCAAAAAGCACACTTTGAATACAAATTGACCTTTTCATTGTTGGTATGTAATGAAATATTAAATGTATAGTACAACTCTGCTGACACTTGACAGAACTATTTTCATTCTCTATATATATAATATATAGCAAAAGCACAAAAAGAATACAACACATATATATATATTAAACTAAATTTTAGTTTATTTATATCAAATGATAGTAAAACAACGGTAATTATTTAATTTAATAGTATATGGGTATAAATTAACTATTTAAATAACATGGTATGTGGGTACTACTTTTTTTCCCCCTTTTTTTTAAACTAAAAAACAATTGTGGGTCGTTGGTATGGAACAAAATTCGTAAATACGGGTGGTAGGGGTCTGCTGATTATTGAAGTTATGGGTGGTAGGGGTCTGGAAAAAGTGCCGGCCCAGGGGGGATGTCTTTTTTTCTGGAACAGCCCTTATAGATGTACCCGGGTAATTGATGACATTTTGTAAACAACAACCTACCAGATATTGGTAAAATTACAATGAGTAGCCCATTCAAAATGCTGCTCAGACTTGTTGTAAAGTGTGACATCATCAGAAACTGTCAACAAATATTACACTACTGATTTCCATGATTTTACTTTTTTTTTAAAGGGCAGAATAAACCGATATTTTCACTGACCGTTAGATATCCTGTATCTTGCTTGATACTTTTATTATAATATCCTAACATGATGGTTAATTCTACACATAAGTTTCCAATCGTTATGTTTGTTTCCAGGCTTTTGCTGGGTCATTTTGAATCCAAAGACTTGGCTCACATTGGTGGAACCCCAAACTGCTGTGACAACTGTAGGAAAAAGTAAGCTTCTCTATCTATGTACAGTTGGTGATCGCTTCTCTATCTATGTACAGTTGGTGATCGCTTCTCTATCTATGTACAGTTGGTGATCGCCTCAGAACATGCTGAGAGGATTATAACATGGTGTTTTGTTGAAGCTGTTTAACACTCTGTGCGGTCTAGTACCTAGCTAAAGCTGCTAGAATGTTGACAATAAATTCAGTGGCTGAGTTAGCCTGCCCAATCCAAATTTTGTCTTAAAAGGCAAAATAATTTTGTTCTGACAATGACAATGTATGACAGAACCCTCTATAACCCAGAAATCTCTGCAAACAGTATTGTAGTTCTTCGTGTGGTGTTTGGTGTAGAGAGAGAAAACAGATCAGGAGAATGGTACTAGTACTGTACACAGTGAAATTGTTGCCCTTCAATTGTAAAATCCACTTTTGCCCAATATCAAATTTGCCCTTCACATTTAATTACTATGAATATTAAGTTGTTTTCAAATGCTCAATGTAATAATAAATTCACCCTCATTACTGAGGGCAAAAAGAGTGAAAATTAAACTGCTGCGAACATTTCCTGGAATACAGTATTACATATTACTCAAAGGATTCGGGGAAATACTAAGAATAATAATGTGACTGATTTAAGCATCTCTAGGAATGGCCACTATAACATTGTCCTTTAAATAATAGTCCAGGGCCGTTTTCGTTTAAACAGTTGAACCGGTTGGGCCACAGTTGTTCATTTATTAAATAAAGTCGGACCTAGTAATCTGATGCTGCTTTCAGGCGAGCCTTGACAAAGCCTTGCAAGGCCTGCATAAACATTTGCAGGTCCGTCGGGATTTATACCCAAAAATGTTACATTTAAAAACGGACAAATCGGTTGTTCCCCAGAAACGAACAGGCCGCAGGATTCGTCTGGAACACAAGCAAAAGTTCTTGTCAAATCAAAAGTCAGCCATCACTGGAAACAAGCACTACTCAACCAGATTGCTGAAAATAAAAAATCATGATACTCCAGCCTGCCTGTAAATCTAGATGATAATTTATAAACAGATACTGTGACAGTAACCATGTTTATAAAACAACAGATATAGCTTCTATTTGCTGTTTAAGATGGCCACACAATTAATGAACTTAAAGGCTAGAATTTGCAATAAGGATGTTTATGATAAACATGTTTTCAAACCCAACACTAAGACACATAACATCTAATTGCTAGCAATAAATAGCATGTCAAAGTAACAGAATCTACGAACCTATAAATGTTGATGCTGGCTTTTCTAAGACTCTTTGTTGATTGTAGGATCAAAATGAGCAAAACTTACTATGACTCTAAGAACTGGACAATGGCGGACAGCCTGGTGTCGGATGAGGAAAGAGAGTATGGAAAAGAGGCTCGAGACCTGTTTTCAGCCATAGAGGTGAGGAAATGTTTATAAGCTCTCTGTTGTGTCACTGACCAAAGCCATATACACTGCGCATCTGTACAATATGTCATCTGTCAGTATGTATGTCAAACAAATCTTGCTTTGTAACCACATGATTATAAAATGATTTTAATTTTCACTAAATCAATGAAAAATTTCACTAGCCCTGATATAAAGTCTACTATCCCAGGCAATTGGTTAGTGGAATGTACACCTCAGCTGATTACTCAAGTTAGAAATTAGTATGGAGAGTGTATTAAGGACATGGATTAAATAAAATTGCAATCTGCATAGATATCATCCTCGATACTCCAGGGGTTACGCTCGCTTTCGTTCTCTGCAACCTTTGAATAACAAAATGGAAGGCACATGGCTAGCTATTTGATTGGTCTCAGTTAAAAACATCAAAAAATCGCTAGACTGATACCTGTCCTTTGAAGATTACAGAGGAGTGACACCCAACTTCAAAGCCTGCCAATTTACTGTTACGCAACTGACTTATTCTTTTCATGTAAAATAAAGGATCAAACTAGACTTCTAGTGCCTTCCACAAGGTGGTGCACACTGAGCCAGCGTTTTAGCTCTGACATAATTCAGGGGTGCAGAGAGCAAAAGTGAGCATAGACCCATGAGTGTCGAGGATGCTGGACAAATGAACTACCATAATCATCTATAAAGGCAGATTTCTAAAATTGTTGGGTAGTATTTGTCCTCTTGTATCGATTCACAATTGACTCGCTTGTGAATTAATTCATGTATAAATATGTGTTTACAAAATGCAAGTAATGTACAGTCAGTATAAGTATCTGCATATACAGTAGAACCCGCTTATTATGATATTCTATTTGCCAGAGAAAAATATTATAATAACCGATTTATCATAATAAACGATATAAGAAATATTCATGCTTACATAATGCCTTGTTTAATTCTAGGTGCTCGGCAATAGATATGGACTTATGGCCCCTATCAAGTTTTTAACGGGATCTATTGACAAAAAAGTCCAGCGTTTCTCTGATCACAAATACTTCGGATCTGGAAAGTAAGATTTTTTTTTTCTCATCCGGCTTAACTCATTCACCCCTGAAAATTCATAATGAACTATTCCAACCTTTGAATTGGAGGAGTTCAATTGTGTCTTCAGGGATGTATGATTTAATTATGGAGGAAAATCCACCAGGTTCAGTCCTCATAAAAATCAAGGGATAGACAATGCTGTGGTTGTTTCTAGAATACTTTGAATATCAACCCAAACATGGAGACATACTATTTTGTGTTATTTTTTGTCTCGCCGCGAGACTAAGGTGTTGCTTTTCTGGGGATAGCGGTGACGTCAACATTTAGTTTTTGCGTTTAAGTTAGTTTCACTGAAAGTATAAGTGCTAGACCGACCAAACATCTCAACCCATGCATCAGTTGTCAGCATCTCCATCAACATTAAGTTTTTGGGTTTAAGTTAGTTTCCCAGATATGAGCATTGATGGTCAAGGGGGGCACAGGTGAGACATATCTCCGAATGTCTTGTTTAATGTTGGCAGAGTTTAAATCTGTAAAACAGCTTCTTTTTACTGATTTGACTCCAGACATTATTGAAAACCTGTGTTATGTGGTTCATCTGTGGGCCCGTCTAATTTTGATACTTCTGTAATAGAAACAAAATGAAATGCAAATCAGGACAGCTACTTTTTCGAAAGTCATCATTTAGTTTAATCAAATTAAGTTCCACAGAAGTACTATATAAAGGGGGTTGTAAGTAAGGTGGTAAATGAAACAAGGGGCATTAAGTTGAAGTTTTAATGTATATTTACCATGTGTTTCAGGTATAAGAAGGTCAAGTGGTGGAGTGCCTTTGGTAAGTCATACAGGTTTGATTGATTAATTTTTGAAAAGTCAATTATTGATTGATTGTAGTTCAATTTATTTGCAAAAACAAAGGTCACGTGATATGTACATCATGACTCAAGTTACTGAAGTTTCAGAATGATGGAAACACTTTTTACAAGGGGTGTACACAAGTCATCTTAACTGGTACAATGGTACTGTATGGGTTCATTCTCATTTCTGACTTCAACATATTTGTTGTGACTGGATCATGTTGCTGACATGGGAGACTTGTTTGAAATAAAGTCAGTGCCTTCAAGCAGCTACCGTACTTTGGGACATTTTGGATGTGGTTATATTTTGGATTATTTGACGCCTGGACTGAATGAGACATATTGAACACAGCAAAAGTTCACGATACCAAAATATATTGTCGCAACATCCGGATATTGGCAGACCGTCTTCCAACTCATTCATTATGCATCAATTACTTACTTCGTTGACTATATTTTTCATATAAACAAAACTTGTAATTACATATTTTTGGGTAGAAACACTCAATAAATGATAGGGCTGTCACAATCTATCGGAAAACAGGTATATCACAATACATAGGCATATTTTATCGTAACACAATACAGAGATGAAATATTGCTGTATCTTAATATTTCTCAAAAGCATATTTTGGTGTTTTAACTTTGCAAATTACCACAAATTCTAACAGATATACCAATAAGCATAAAGCAGGCTTTTAATAGTTCAAATTTTGTAATCGATGGTTGGTTTGACAAAAATCTTAAATCTGTGTAGTCCATATTATATATGATTAAGTTTGATAACATTCTGACAACTTATTATAAAATTGACAACATCCTTCCTATGACAATATATCGGGATACGTATCGCAATATATTCATTCTGTATTGCAATATATTACACTCTTTGCGTATTGTGACACCCCTAATTAAAAATTTTAAAATATCTATATTTTTCTGAAAAACTCATCACATTCAGTGTTTTCAAGCACCAACATTTAGTATAGAGGATTGTAAAATGCTGATATTTGACGCAATATGATTTAACCACCAGATTTTAAGCAAATCAAGGCCAAAATTTGGAAACGCCAAAATATCCCAAAGTGCAGTATATTGGAATTACTGATCAACTCAAATCTTCATGTTGCTATTTCAAGCACATTTTACTGAAATTTTCAGTTTAATTTAAATGTATGACATTTACAATCATTTGGTTCCAAATGGCAGTGTTCTCCACTCCAAAACCCAACCAAGCCCAGATCAAACAAGGATGGATTTGTTGAAGCAGCATACTACTTATTGTCTAGATTTAAAGAAATTTTGAATAACCACTAATGTACATTGTATAAGAACAAGACATCAGAGATAGCAGCCTAGTTGGATAATATTGAGTATGTGCTGCATAAACAACATAGAGAGATCTAGAGCTCTGTTTAACGATGGGATATGCAGTAACGAATCAGGAAAATACCGGCAGGAAGAGAGATTATCACAAATTATGATTCTGTTTTACCTGTTCTTTATATCACATATTGTCAGGAAAGGCTCTGATCTTAGACGGATATCTGACAGAGCGACCAATTGAAAATGGCTTTGGGTCCGTTGTGGAATTGGCTCAGAAAGGCAGGAATTGGCTGTGGCAGAATAAGAATGCTACAAATGTTTCGCTCAAGGTGACTCCCAGTGCCGATTTGGTTGCTGAGGAGAAACCTGCAATCAGCATTTCTTTGAAGTGAGTTAATGTATATATACTGTTTGATAATGTTAGCAGGAAAACAGAATCTCGCTGTGTAGAAGTTGTTCAGTTTACAGTAAAAACATTTTGTTAGCTCAACTTGCTTAAAGTGCCAAGTCAGCTCTTGTTGTAATGTGGCATCTGTTGAACTTCTCACATCAACTTTTTACTTAAAACAACTTATCATGAAGTGCAAAGAGGCCTGTGGAGGATTTATGGCTAGAAGCATACTGGATTAGGGGGCTACTAAGTTTGTTCAAATAAATGACCTCAACCTTCTTTAATTTTCTGTGATGTTAGATTTAGTCTGGTTTCCCCATGTGCAAATTACGATGCAGAAATTGAACCCAAGGTACTTAGTGATTATATTGATAAATAGACTTGTTCGTCATCTAAGCTTTACTATTCATCACTCTCAGACAATCCATTCCGAAGGCAACATCCTTCCCAAGTCCATCTTCTAGTCCAAGAAAGGTCAATCTGGCCGAGTTTCATCATACACCGAAAGATTCACCTCGCGTTAAACCAGATGTGGATCAGGAAACCATCAGACTCCAGGCCAAGATGGCTGCCCTACAGGTCAGTGAGAATGTCTAAATCTGACACCCAGTTGAAAACAGAGTTCTTCAATCCACAGATTTGCCTTGCACAGTTATTTATTGGCAGGTACATTTAGCTCTCATACATACTGTAAACTGGAACATTTTCGCCTTTGAATGGTAAAATCCATTTTCGCCCAATATTAAATTCGCCCTTCACATTTAATTACTATGTATATATTATGTTGTTTACAAATGTTTGCTGTAATGAAAAATTCTTCCTCTTTACGGAGGGTGAAAAAGACGAAAATTAAACTGTAACGAAAATTTCTCGATATACAGTATAATACTATGTTTGACACAGACAAATAATACTTTAACCCTTTCACCACTGTAGACCATAATGGATTCATCCAGATCAATGCATGGTAGAGTCTATAACCCTTTCACCACTGTAGACCATAATGGACTCGTCCAGATCAATGCATGGTAGAGACTATAACCCTTTCACCACTGTAGACCATAATGAACTCGTCCAGAGCAATGCATGGTAGAGTCTATAACCCTTTCACCACTGCAGACCATAATGGACTCGTCCAGATCAATGCATGGTAGAGACTATAACCCTTTCACCACTGTAGACCATAATGGACTCGTACAGATCAATGCATGGTAGAGTCTACTAAAGTTACATAGGGGTGAAAGGGTTAAGAAAGGCTGCCCTGAGAGAATAATAGCTGTACAATTATATAAGATCATGATTAAGGGTTTCACACCTGTGACGAGGGCGGAGTGTCCAACCCACACCTACTACCATTTTAAAAATAAAACACTATGTTCTAGACTTCACAACAGAAATTGTCTTACTATAATATTGGACATTTAAGTATCATTCTTACAAAAAGATTTTTCCATGAATCAAGTTTTCTCTGTATTAACTAGATAATGTTAGTTAGGACTGCACTAGGATGTTTCTTACTGTAGTAGTCTCTGAGAACCTGGTCAGAATGAAATGGGAAATCGCACCACAATCATCAGCACAATAAAATTGTCATTGAAATTGACTGCTTCACTGGTATAAATATAGAAGATTAACTAAAATTGATATTTGTTCTTAGTTCAATTCTTACAATAGGAGTTTACATACAGGTTATTGTACAATATTTTCTGGTGTTTCAATCTCTACACTTCATTATAGATTATCATAAAGATAATATAGCTTATATATATATTTGTCTCGGCCATATACGATATTTTAATAAAGGGCTTCTGTGCCACTGAAATAGAATTCAAATGTTGAGTAAATTGTATGTTTGTGTAACAGAATGAACTTTACAAGGAGTTGGTAAAGAAGAGGAATGAGATCGCAGGAGAGACTGGATACGCACCTTACTCTATCGCCAGCAACAAGGCCCTTCTGGACATGGCTAATATCAGGTCAGTCTGGATTTTCCTCAGGTCACTCGAGTCCTAAGTGTTTCTGATCATTAAGAACTTCAAACATGCGAGGTATCAATAAAGATCAGTTTTATACTCTATGCATCCTCAAGTTCCTCTGTCAAAGAAAGTTTGTTTTTGGTGTATAGTAAGTATACCTTCCTGGTACACATGTAAACTTTACACACATTGAGGCACATCATTAATAAACTTAGTTGTTATAGGCCATTAAACCCTATAGATGGAATAATGTGTTAGCCTAGTGTAGTAGTAACCCAAGTATTATGTCCTTCAGACCAAGCACCAAAGACTCAATGATAAAAATTGAGGACTTCCCGGAGGCCAAGGTGAAGAAATTTGGTGACATGTTCGTCAAAATCATCATCTCATTCTGTAAGGAACATCCTGATTGTAAAACAGACAATTTCCCTGAGATCGATATTGGAAAGGTTTGTGATTATGTTCTCTTGATCGGGAAGATTTTCGTTTAAAAATCTTGATAATACCTGTAATGTTAAACATTAGTACCAATGAGAGTAAAATGTTTTTTTCATAGAATTATAAAAATTGTTCAGATCTATCTTTTAGCATGCATCATGTAAATGCTGTTATGATCAATAACAGTTGAGTTGGACCACCCATTAAGATTGCATATTTTTATATATGCAAGGGTTCATTCTTTAATCATCTGCTAATTATATGGTTGAGAGGAGATCACTTCAAAGATATTAACGAAATGTATCTTATATATGAAATTGATACATATTTTGGTCAATAAATATCACATATGTCGTGATGTTTTAGAAAAATTGTTGCTAATATTTTAAGTAGCATGCTGAAGAAATCTCTATAACATTACATGTGACATTGTTTCCTTTGTTGTAGGTGTCCTCTATACTTGACCTTCGTCAGCTGACAGAGACTCAGAGAACGACCTTCATCATGTATAGTCAGGACCATGTGGATGTTGTGAGTACAAGGCTGTCTGTGTATTGCTTAAAAAAGGGGGGACCACGTTGGCTAAGTGGTTAAGGCACTGGGTCGCAGGTTTGAGACCTACGTCACCAGGTACTGGATGTAAGTCGGTGTTTTTTAGCTCACCTGCCCGAAGGGCTAGTGAGCTTATGCCATGGTGCATCATCTGTCGTCCGTCTGTCTGGTGTCCGTCAACTTTTCCTTTTAACGACTTCTTCTGAAGAAGGGACAGGCCTACAGTCATGATACTTGGGTGATAGCTTCGTTGGTAAGAGCCCAACAAATTTTGAGAGCAAAAATGACCTTGACCTACTTTCAAGGTCAAAGGGGTCAAAAGTATCAAATACTTAAAAACAACTTTTTATGAAGAACTGATAGGTATAGAATCTTAATATGTGGCTGGTTGTTTTTTGGGATGGAGCCTGACAAAGTTTGAGAACGAAAATGACCTTGACCTACTATCAAGGTCACAGGGGTCAAATATGTCAAACTTATCAAACAACTTTTTCTGAATAATCGAAATGCATAGAATCATATTATTTGGCTGGTTGCTTCTTGGGATTGAGCCCGACAATATATGTGAATGAAAATGACCTCAACCTACTTTCAAGGTCACAGGGGCCAAATATGTCTTCAAATGACTTCTTCTAAATAATCTAAAGGCATAAAATTATAATATTTGGCTGGTAACTGTCATAGATGTAGCACAACAAAGTGTGCTATTGAAAATTACCTCAATGTACTTTCAAGGTCAAAGTGGTCAAATATAGCAAAAACTGCAAATAGCTTCTTTTAAAGAAGTTAAAGCCATGGAGTCGTGATATTTTATAAGTAGCTTCCTGAGATGTAGAAACCATGCATGCCCCATCCCAATGGGGATAGGAGAATGGGACCCAATAAGGTAAGGGTGTTACTGAGAGACAGAGCCAATATTTGGAAATATCTGTAGTACAGTATAATATTCATTTAACATTTTACTATGACTGCTTAAATATCCAGGTGAGCGATACAGGCCCTCTGGGCCTCTTGTTTTCTCCGGAAACTCCACCTTTCCTCCTACACCAAAACCTGGCACGTCTTTTAATGACCATAACTGTTAATAGGACGTAAAACATAAATAAGCAAAGTATTACTTAATATGAACCAAACAGTACTAGAAAATTCAATCTAGCTTTAGGTTCTTTAAAGCTGAGGTGCACTGCACCATAATGATAAATAACATCACAGTCATTAATTTGTAAGTATTGAATTTCACTATGTGAAGTTTTAATGCATCACCTGGAAACATTTATTTAAGTAGGCCATTGAACATCATTATCCCCTCTCAACGAATGTTCAAGGGGATATACATTATAGGATTCCACCTGTACGTACGTATGTTCGTATGTAACACTCTTTGTCATGGCTCTAGCAACTACATTCTTCAACAGAGTTTCATGAAACTTCACACAAGTAATGCCTTAATCAAGTGTGCATTTTGGGTTTCTACATTTAAGGTCAAGGTCACTGTTACTATTTTTAGAAAAAAACGTTTTCATCATGCTAGCGACTTCATTCCTCAACAGAATTTCATGAAACTTAAAACAAGTGTTTAGTATGACAATATCTGGAGCAAGATTGCGTTTCATGTTACTGCATTAAAGGTCAAGGTCACTTTTACTATTTTTACAAAATAATTTTGTCATCATTCTATTGACTTCATTACTCAATAGAATTTCATGACACTTGATAGAAGTGTTTGGTACGGCAATGCCTTTAACAACTTCTCCTTTCAGGTTAATACGTTGAAGGTCAAGGTCACTTACTATGTTTAGAAGAAAAAAATAGTCATGGCTCTTGCCACTTCATTTCCTCTTACATGTGTCCCAATGTGTGAATGTGAGGGGGTTTGTATCACTTGTGCTGCCTTGGTCCTGGTGCTTTTCTGTATAATAATGACAACCCAACTGCATTGAAGGAGTTTTACATAACAGAATACATACAAAATGTGGTGGAGTTTAAACTGTCAGTTTTTGTACCAGTGAAATCTGATTTAAACTATGGTACGTAATTAGTGTCTGGAGCACATGACATTTGGCCGGGGAGAATTCAAAAATTATTTTATTTTTCCTTTAAAGTCACTGGAAAAGAGTCGTGTCTAATTGCAGTGTCTAATAGAGAGTATTTATATTAAGAGTTTTCGTATGACCATTTCCATCCCCTACTCTGTATCAGCCTGAGACTCCCATATCAGCCTAAGGGGCCAGAGGCTGTGGACTGCGGCTGATTCGGAGTAGGATATGGAAATTGTTATACGGTAACCTTTTTATCATATACTGCTCTATAACATCAAAGGTATAAGCAATAACACATAAAATTGGCAGAATATTGATTTTACATGAGCTTAACTATAGTCACATTCTACTTTAAATAAAACTCCATGTACAGATTGCTATGAAGTGTACACAATACCAGTTTAAGGTGTGATTTCAGAAAAGTGTTCAACTGGAGGTTAAAGTGATATGGTGCGTGTGGGGTGGTTATGGATTGGTCCACGATATGGCCTATGCACAGTTATCACCATAACACATGAAAAACAGACCATATCACGAACAAATAAATGATTAAGTCATCAAATGTAATATATTGACCAGAGAAGGCTAGAATTGAGGGTGTTTGAGGAAGGGGGCATTTTAATCATTCAAATTCAATAAATGCTGAACAAAACAAGAAATGACACTAATATCAGCAAATATAGTAGGTCTAGGTTTGTGTTGATTCCTTTACTGAACCATCGTACTTTGTATTTTATATTCAATAGGAAGAAATCGCATCCAGACGAGGATTCAAAATCAACAACATCATAGGTCATCTTTGTGAGGCGGTGAAAATTGGCCAGCATATTGACATGCAGAAATTAGGAGTCAACTCTCGGATAGAACAGCTGATCACAAAAGCGATCAGAGGTCCTCTAAAGTCAGGTACAACAGCACTTATTTTGTAGGTAGGATAGAGCAGCTATTCATAGACGGTATCAGGGGTCCTCTCAAGTCAGATATAACAGTCGTTATATTGTAGTAATGATAGAACAGCTAATCACAGACGCTATCAGGGGTCCTCTCAAATCAGGTACAACAGTTGTTATATTGTAGTAATGATAGAACAGCTTATCACAGACGCTATCAGGGGTCCTCTCAAGTCAGGTATAACAGTCATTATATTGTAGTAATGATAGAACAGCTAATCACAGACGCTATCAGGGGGTCCTCACAAGTCAGGTATAGCAGTACTTATAATGTAGTAATGATAGGCCAGCTTATCACAGACGCTATCAGGGGTCCTCTCAAGTCAGGTATAACAGTCATTATATTGTCGTAATGATAGGCCAGCTAATCACAGACGCTATCAGGGGGTCCTCTCAAGTCAGGTATAGCAGTACTTATATTGTAGTAATGATAGACCAGCTATTCTCCCACCCTTCACAGGCGTGTCTCCCGTTTTAGTCAGGAAAGATCAGCTTGTCACCCCCTAGGGGGAGATAGCCTCGTGCAGATTAGCACGTGTTCAATTGTGACGTCATTAAAATGCGTCACCGGTAATTGTGACGTCATCAAAACTGAATGATGATATTCATACCCCACATGTGTTTAACAAACTTAGATTATTGTTGGTGGAGTTGTGACTGAAATAATAGGATGGGAGAAAAATAATCATACCCTACCTTGAGAGTGTAACAGAGAAATATCCAACCCTTGGGGTGATTTTTGTTGGTTGTCTAACCCTCGGCAGAGTCTCGGGTCAGCCAACCAAAAAAATATCCCCTCGGGTAGGAGATTTCTCTGTCACACCCTTAAGGTAGGGGAAGATTATACTAGTCACAGACGCTATCAGGGGTCCTCTCAAGTCAGGTTTAGCAGTATTTATAGTGTAGTTATGATAGACCAGCTAGTCACAGACACTATCAGGGGTCCTCTCAAGACAGGTATAGCAGTACTTATAATGTAGTTATAATAGACCAGCTAGTCACAGACACTATCAGGGGTCCTCTCAAGTCAGGTATAACAGTCGTTATATTGTAGTAATGATAAACCAGCTAATCACAGACGCTATCAGGGGTCCTCTCAAATCAGGTACAACAGTCGTTATATTGTAGTAATGATAGAACAGCTAATCACAGACACTATTAGGGGGTCCTCTCAAGACAGGTATAGCAGTACTTATAATGTAGTTATGATAGACCAGCTAGTCACAGACACTATCAGGGGTCCTCTCAAATCAGGTACAACAGTCGTTATATTGTAGTAATGATAAACCAGCTAGTCGCAGACACTATGAGGGGGTCCTCACAAGTCAGGTATAGCAGTACTTATAATGTAGTAATGATAGGCCAGCTTATCACAGACGCTATCAGGGGTCCTCTCAAGACAGGTATAGCAGTACTTATAATGTAGTTATGATAGACCAGCTAGTCACAGACACTATCAGGGGTCCTCTCAAGTCAGGTATAACAGTCGTTATATTGTAGTAATAATAGTCAGGTAAAGAGGTTCTTACGTTTTAGTTAAAACATTCAAATATAGCAAATCTTTCAAAATAATCCCTGTACCATTACCAAAACTGGTAACTCTTCACTCAAAATGTCCAAGCATGGTAATAACATTAACAAATCATTTGTGAAAAGAAAAACTTACCTTGCAGAACTTTCATGAATTGAAAATACAGCTCTCTTAGTGTAGATATGTAACTGGACCAGGGTACCGTTTCACAAACAGGGTTTAACACCCTGTTTGTGAAACGGCAACCTGCTCAGGATTTGAACACTGGACCTCCAATCATTATAGTGTTGCTCTCTAACCCAGTCACAATAAAGGAATTTAAGGAAAGGTTACTCCAGGTATAAAAACCTAAAATGAATTTGTCCAGTGTTTGGTCTGTGGTGGGATATAGCTACAGAATGTTTCAATTATTGTAACAGTTCTTGCGTTTGTCGCTGTTAAATGTATAAAAGAAACTGAGATTTCAATTTTCACTGAAGTAGCTTTAATATTGTCTTCATGGCCCGAATATTCATAAGAAAATTGTACTGACTATTCAAGATTTCAAGGTTCTGTGTGTTTGTTTTACAGACATCAGTGGTCTGACGAAGATCAAGGATCTATTACCAGATCATGTGGAATACAACCACATCAAATTAGTAATTGCCTCGTTGCTATGGAAACATGGACAAGAGGTGCTGCCATCTGGGGAGCTAGTGTTGTTGGGTGGCACTGCTGATGCCACTTCCTGTCTACAGACGGGAGCAACTGCCTCCTCAGCAAACATTGATCTAGTCCCCTCATCATCCATGGAGGTCTGCCTATACTTGTTTTGTTTATATGTTATTAAATTATTATTTTTTAAATTCCATTATTTGTATTGCCTTTAATTTGTTGAATTATTTCCATGGTTCAAGAATGAAAATAAAATTCAGATGAAGATTTTATATTTTGCGGCAGGTCTTTGACCTTGGAAACTTGTTTTGAAGGTCAATTGATTGGTGACTTATGGTCTTTTCCATTTCAGGTTATGGATTCACAGGATGCTTCTCAGAACTCGCAAAGTACGGATGTAGAATCTTCTGCGTCTTCTGGGACAAAAAGGAAACTTCCATCTTGGATGTCGTCCAATAAACCAATGAACAAGAAAATGAAATCTAACCGTCTCTTTCGGTAGTGTGTAAAGGAACATCAATTTTATAATGCTGCATCAAATGCTGTGTAATATTTGGCATAGTGGGATAATTGTGTCATGTGAATTTTGAAATGTGTGTGTGCTTTTAAGGAATTCAAGCAATTTACCTTTGTGCAGGTAAATTTTTGTGTAAGGACAGATTTAGACAGCTGTTGTTATTCTTGAAGAAATACGCAAATTGTTTACATATGTATAATGGGTGATAGGGATATGCAGAGTTCTGCTTGATAATTATGTTGAATTTAATGACTGATAGAGACTCCGAAAAAAATTATCTCTCATTGCTTATAAATAATCAATGCTGTGACTGTGTGTTCAGTTAGAAGAGGACTGTGATAAGTGGATGAGGAGAAATATCTGCTCATGCGAGTCAAATGGGATTTTTGCAGAGGACAGTGCATTTATATAAATACCCACTGTGTTCATTGAAAAGTGCTGTATGAAATTACAAATTGATTTTCAGACTTAAAAATTAATTCTGCTCAAGAGGTTTGTCTGAGACATCACTACCGCTTCCCACCTGTCCATCTGTTGTAATATGGTTCTGTACACGACATCTCATACACCCCTCAACAGACTAAATATGTATTTTCACAATAGTATGGTACACATAGAGTTCTAACCCTAATTAGATTTTGGTTGTTATCAGTGAAGGTTGAAGGGTCAAGGGTCACACTAGACTTCTTACGACAACCATTTCTTGCTTGGGAAGGGTGGGTATATTTTAGAGAGCCCCCTGCTAAGTGCTTACTTTGTTTTTTAAAAAAATCTTTGCTCATTATACTTTAAACAGTAAAATATTTCGGTAATTATTAACTTGATGCATGACTTATTAATGTTGGATATTTTGTTGGCATTAAATTTAATAATACTTTCCTATACAGAAACTTCAGTTAAACAATTTCCTTAAGTTAAGGAACGTTAGCAAACTTGTGATATCAATATATGATGGAAAGGCAGAATGTAACCTACTAAAATCAGGTTCCATGACCCTTCATATGAAATGAGTCTAAAGAAATTTTCATATGAAAAGTGATGGTCATTTGTGATCTGCATCCATTGTATTCTTTTATATTTAGTTTGATCTTTTAAAAAAAATCCTTAAGTAAAAGGAATATCATCAAACTATATGTATATATCATGAGAAGGCAGAGTGTCAGATACAATGTACTGAAACCTGGGCCGGTATTCATAGAACCGATCTCATGCTAAAGCATGGATTATGTGCTCAAACCAACTTCCTTGTAACTCAATTAAATGATGTCAAACGGTCATAAAGTCAAATGTTAACATTGAAAACAGTTTTTGATTCTAAGTATTTCCATTTTTTCCCCAAACCATTCACAAAATAAGATTTAATGATTATATATAACCGGAACAAGAAACTAGGAAACTAGGCTTGAGCATGAAAATGGTTTTATGAATACCGGCCCAGGTCTCCTGCCTCACTATATACAATAAAGATAAGTGAATTTTTATGTTACTTGTACGTGTGACGGGGGTTTAACGGTCTACACCTGTGCTAACCTTTTTTATTTAGTTTGATAATTTGGACATTTTTACTGATTTCAGCTTTTTTGTTTTCTTTATATGTGCTTACATAAATATGGAATTAGTTCCTACTGTTAGCTTGATGATCATTAAGGTGACGGTTACAATAAGGATTGATTTAATTAACATTAGCTTGATGATCATTAAGGTGACGGTTACAATAAGGATTGAATTTATTACTAGCATTGTCACTGTTATGAAAGGGTGATGGCCTATGCTAGTAAGTTATCAAAATTTGTGCCTTGTTTTTTTCATATATTTTTTTTCAAAAAATAATGATATTTTGAAGGAATTCTAAATAAGTGAAAAATATCTGCAAAGGGAAAATATTGTTGCTTCATTTTCTGTATAAAAGGGATAACCATCCACGTTGGAAAAATAGCTCTGAAATGGAATTCTTATTCATGTTGTAACTCTTGTAGCATACCCTTTACCTATAACCATAGTAAGTCAAATTACCAGAAAAAAATGAGTCTTCCTAAATTTCCAAAGACTTGTATTTTGCTTCTTGTCTCATGATAATTTTAATGAATTGATAAAAATTCAGTTTATGTGTTCATTGCAATATTTTGTTTTCAGCATTACTGAACTTGTTGTTAAGCTTAAAGCTCTTTCACATTCATCAGTGTACATTCATTGTTCCATTCCTTTAGGGAAGTCCTTATTTTTATCAAAGTTTGATGATGAAATCATTACCAATAAATAGATTTGTGACAATGACAAACTTACTTTGCTATTTTGAATACCAATTAGCAGTTTGTTGAAACTGCAAAAGGAGATCATTCAGTTTTCTGTATTAGAAATGTTCATACATATGTAATAGGGTATTGATCCAGGGGTGATTGGGATGGGTATTTTTAATGGCTGACCTCAAATCGTGTGGAATTGTTTTTTCCGTTTAGAAACAGTAGCTTTACAGGCAACATTATATTTAGATCACCCCAGAAAAAGTCTGGTATAAACTATTGCAATCTCCTTGTGTCCATCACCATCCTCTCACCAATTCACTTTTTCGACCTCTTCTCAGAAACTAGTCTCAGTAAAATTTTGCAGGAAGACAAACAAGAATTGTGAATTATATGGTTCATGGTCTCCAAGATGAAGAAATTAGCAAAACAGAAAATTCAACAATTTCCTTTGTGTACAGAAATCTTAGAATTAAATACACTCCATATTAAAAGAAACTATTAAATGGTTCTTTCTAGAGCACACATAGGCCTACACTCGTGATAGTTTGCCAGTAGCTTGCTGGTCTGAAGTACTAAAACCTTCATAAAGAAGTGACGTTGGCCCATATTTAAAGTTCATGGGTCAATTTTGTTAAAACATTCAATAGACTTCTGAAGAACTGAAATGCCTAGAGTCATGATATTTGGGCAGTAGATTGCTGGCATTCATATGGTACGAAGATTGTGAAATGAAACGGCATTGACCCATATTCAATATCATGAGGGTCAAATTTGTCAAGATCAGTCAAAATTAAGTTCTTCTTAAGAACCAAAAGTCTTATAGTCATGATATTGGTCAGTCACTTATTTAAAAGCAGTGCTAGCAAATTGCTAGAAGAAATGCCCTTTAAATCAGATTAACATCTTCAGGCCCCTCAGGCTTCTTATTCTTTTTCATAACACAAGAAAACCATGGCAATACCATTTATTGTTTTTATTCATATGCTTATTTACAATCTAAAAGCAACATCAAGTACAGAAATTACCATGTTTGTTCACAGCCAGTTTAACAAACTCCTATAAACAAATCTTTTACTACAGTTATAGTAATTATGATAAAATACCAGATTTTAGGAGAAGATCGAGTTAGGTACAAGTCGGTTGTTTTATCTTTGGTTAATACATGTTACAGTACTAAATACTCAAATTTTTACTCTCTATATTGNGGGGTGGGGGGAACAAACATTTGAAGGTTTCAAAATGATTACCTGGTATATCAATTCTAAAACTACCTGGGTACATTGTATAGAAATTCACATGTGGAAACATTTTCATTGCGACCCTTTAAGCTAATCATTGGAAAAAAATAATTGTAAGTATTATTTATAGGCACACTACACACAAAATACCATTTATATACACAAATATATTTTACAATATTAAACACAGAATTTATTTTTGTTGAGAATGTTGTAGTACCACAGCTCTTCAGTAAGCCATTTAGCTGGCTTCTCCGTTTCTTTATTAGGAAAATTTTATAACGTTCCATCAATATTCTAGTTTCACATTCCATATTAATACAAGACATAAAAGGTAATACATGCTTAATATTAGTTGTTAAGAGCAAAATTAATGATAATGATTTTTTTTGGATTTTTTTTGGATTTTGTTAATTTTGAGGGAAATGGGAATTTTAGATGCAAAACTTAAACTAAAAAGAGTATAAAAGAATGGTACATGGGTGTTGTAATTTCTGTATTGTTATGCAGAGTCTGAGGCTTTTCATTTATTTTTATAGAAGTTCAAACCATAAAGTTTTATTTACTAGGTATTTGACTTTTCTACACAATTATAACACAGAAAGATATTTTGTTGAACACACAATATTTTTTACAAAGCAGTTATTAGTACATCAGCATTTTGAAGAGAGAAAAAAAATAAAAAAAAAATTGGTCCCATACACAACTATTTTTATCAGAATGACATCAGCACTTTACTTCAAGTCTATAATAAAAAGAGTCCAAACATGTTGCCTGTATAAATCAAGTCCAATGTTTAATGACTAAGGTCATACAGCACAACCAGTGAAATATTTATATGTCGGGGTGTTAGCACATTGTCACCTTCTTCAGACAAATGACCAATTAAAATATATGAACACTTTGTACAATTAGATCTTTAAAAAATCTAAACTCACCCCTGAAGACAAATTTGAACTTTTTCAGTTCAAAGGTTGGAACAGTTCATTATGACATTCAGGGGTGAATGGGTTAATAAGTCAATTTTGGTGTTTATCACCTGTTTATTTATCGAGTACCACCGTTAGTAAAAAACAAATTCTGACTGTTTCAACTCTTTGTGTCGCCCGCAACATGAGGCGACATATATAAGTATTATTTTGTCGGCGGTGGCATTGTCTGAAACAAGGTTTCTGTGCAATAACTTGAGTTCCCTTGGGTTGATTGAATTCAAACTTTGTAGACATGTTGCATACCAATATAGCTCGGACAGGTCTACATTTCAGAAGTTTACGGTAGAAAGTAGCTAGTATTTTACAAGGGTGATATATAGTTTATATAAACTTACTTGCTCTTCATTGATGGTTATAATTGTATGATTGCCTCAGAATTACCGATAAGAAAACATTAAAAATAAGCATCATATGCTGAGCTTGCTGACGCTGTATACAGAAACAGCCAGTATATATCTTAACAACCACCACCAGAAAACGTACTGGTCTGGTCAATATATTTGCTCCTAAGATCTATAATTTCAATGTCAATACTCCGTCTTGGTCTTGAAGTTGAAAAAGTCTGCCATTGATCACTATACTACTCTTGGTTGATAGCACTTCCTGTACGCAGGTTCATGGTGACCTCGACCTGGAAGGGGTTGTAGCCGGCGACGACAGGATAAAGTGGCTCTGAACCATCCACTGCATCGATCACACAGATCTGCTCCCCTTTAGCGCTGTCGAAGATCTTCCATTCCTGCTTGTCTGTATCCACCATAAACCCGAAGTTACGGCTCATCGTGGCTCCAGCCTCATTCTTTGACAAACTGTCATGGAAGATGCACTGGTTGCCATGGGCGATGTGGAGGCAGATCTTGTCACAATCATTGTGATGTGCACCAATCAGTGACCAGGCAAAGGTTTGACCTTCTACATGATGCCGATTGTCGATCACTACACCACGCGCCAAGCCGATCTCAAATACAAGATTGCATTTCTCAAGGGGGCGCCGGATCTTGTAGCGAACATTGAGCTCGTAGTAATGGCTGCCCGGAGCTTGTATGGGAACAGTACTCATAGCCCCCTTATACTTCTGTAATGTGTTGGGGCCAGCTGGTTCAGCTGCTGCTGCAGAGTTCAGGAAAGTCTTCCCATCAGGCGAAACAGTCACATCTCTATGGGCTCGAGCACGGTCAAAAGAAAACTCGGGTACTGTAGGGAAAATGCAAACATTCATCATTAAGACAGATAAACATGTAGGCCATATTTTTTATCTAAATAAACCGTTTTTCAAAAATAATATTCGGCTTTCAACCAGTATGTGTAATTATGGCAATTGTAAAAAAATCCTTCAAGGTCATTCATTTCAAATTCAGAATTTTGTAAACTTTGTAGCTTTGCCAGAAAAAAACGGCAGGTATTTAGTCATACAGTTCTCATATAAGATCTCTTATATTTAATGTCTAACTCTATCTGTGAAACATATTTTCTACTCACGTTTTGCTTTCTGCAAGATTACTGTTGGAATGTTGGAAACTGTAATTAAAAGAAAAGCATACTTTGATAAAAAAAAAAAAAAAAAATCCATGATGTGTACAAATACACATCTATAAATATATTTCCATAATGTATACAAATATAAATCTATAAATGAGACGTAAGAAGGTTACACTACTTAGTCCGACTTACCACTGACATCTGTGTTTGCAATCACTTGGAACCTGTAGGTGCCGATCGGACGATCCACAATCCGGATTTCAAGCACATGCTCTCCAGACTCAAATGGGACAAAGCTGATACGGAACCGGTCCTCCGAGCCCGAGAGGCGTTCATCTACACGAGCCATGTTCTCTACACCTTTAAGAGAAGAAAAGGTTCATCCCTAATGACTACTGTCAACAACATACTTTGTAATTCAATTAGTATCCTATATATATATATATATATATAGTTATGATAAAGAGTTTGACAGTACTGTGAAGGTTTTTCCTATTTTTTAAGGACAAAAACAAATCTGGACAATTTAAAGTTAATTTTTCCAAAGAAACAATACAGGAATTATAATTTCATTGATTACTTCCTAAAGTATGATATATTTTATTCTGTAAGATTTTCTTTTAATCTGCATTTTTCGGCAGCAAATTCTGTCTTGATGGTGAGGATGATATTCTTACAAGGATATTGCTTTTCTCTGAAACCTTACATGACATTACCATGCATAACTTCCAAATAAGAAACATTACATTAATACCATGGAACTTCAATTTTATTTTTATTTTTTTTGGGGGGAGGGGGGAGGGGTGGGGGGAGAAACCTCAGCAAAAAATCCAGCTGCTCTGTTATTAATTCAGATGAAAATTTTCTTTGTGATTTAATGTATCCATGACAACCACTAACCTTTGGGTCCCTTGACACGTGCCGAGATAACTCCCACTCGGTCATCAGACTTTTGACCTTGAAAGTTCGCTGTAAAAACGAAGAAGGTCACAATCTCATTCTCAATGGCATCACCTTCCTGTTCAATTCTGGTATTCGGGGGATAGATGGAAGAGGCCCAAACAGATGCCATGCCGATGATATCTTTCTGTATCTCTGCATGTAGTCCCTTGTGTGAGAAACCAAGAGCAGCTGTCTCGTGTGGCATCTTATCAAAGGGTTGCTGGTTGAGTGATCTCATGCGCCTGATAATGGTCTTTTCTATCTGGAGGAGAGCCGAGGAATTGGTATACGCCAAAGCCTGATCAGAGAAGTAAATAGCCTCCTCGATCTGGTTCCTGTGAGCAGTCAACGTACTCATCTGGGTGTCCAGGACCTTTGTCTTTCGGTCCACATGACTTGCTACCTTGTTCTTAAGTTCCTCCCGGCGCTTCTCCAATATCTTGATGTATCCATCAAAGGCAGCGTCAATTTGCATTTCAACGTCACGACCTTTCTCGCCCACTGCTGTTGTCTCCAGGTCGACATCTCTGATGACGCTGGTAACCCGCTCTTCAGCTTTCTTCAGGCTGTCCATTTCTTTACTTATGTCCTGTTTCTTATTGTTGCTAATTTCATCCGTGTTGTTTATTTTGTGACCATCAGTCTCCTTGTGGTCACACAGCACACAGACGTAGCAGACTGGCTTCTGACATTCGACTTTGGAGCAGTACAGGTTGAACTTCTCACGGTGTTGAGGACACTTCTGGGGGTGAGAAAATGCACCCAGAGTCTTCTCCTTCTTCAAGTTTTCCATGGAAATAAGCTCATGTGACCTGGTAACACTTAGCCTCTTGTGAGCTTCCTTGCACTTGCTGCACAGGAACTCTCCACACTCCTGACACCTGTGTGTGGCTGGACTGTCCTCTCCACACGACTGACATGTAACACCGCTTGTATCGTTCTGCACACGGACGAAGTCCATTAAATCCTCCCTGGTGTCATCGCGAGGGAACTCTCTCATGTCAGACGAGGTCGACTTATGCTCCACATTGCATTTGGGACACACAATCTTCTTGTTCTCCACCTGTGTAGAGAGCATGGTGTCTATGGTCAAAATTTCACTGGACAAACATCAATCAAACACCATTCTGGTGAAATTTCTGTAAAAGTTTTAATTTGACATCTGAATTAAGGAATCGGTCCTTGATTACTCTAACAGTATGGCAGAAATAAAGTATACCAGGGAATTTTCACCCTTCGCCCATGAAATCGATTTTCGCCCAGTGTTAATGTCATCATTCTAATTTTGATACTATCTATATTATGTTGTTTATTTATATTCACTGTAATGATAAATTTGCCCTCATTACCGAGGGCGAATAAGGCAAACATTTAACTGCAGCGGAAATTTCCCGGTATAAAGTATTCAAACAGATTCTGATTTGATCTTTAATATTACCAGGTAAATACAGAAAAAATAATAGAATTTGCATTTTATTTCACCCACAGGGGCATGGATCGCTTTACTTGTAATATTAAAAAATAGGGGTCTCATATACTAATATATACATATGAAACCCCTATTTTTTTTAATATTACAAGTAAAGCGATCCATGCCCCTGTGATTTCACCAATTAACTTCAATAAATTACACTGAAAAATATGACATTCTGGTCAAAATGGTTCTTCAAATGCATACTGAACAAAGAAAGCTTATCTTGTTTTGAACACACAAATCACATGTTGTAAGAAGCTGTGTATGATGAGAAAACATTCTGTATTAGGCTGTATGATCTTCAGTGACCTTTAGGAACCCTGAACTTTTGTTAATACCTTTTCCTTGACACACTTGTAGCACAGTGTGTGTAGGCATGGCAACAGACGGGGATGTTGATCGTCAGAGTTGTACGGCTTGCTACAGTTGTGGCAGCGGAGGAACTTCGACTGGAGTTGATCAACCCCCATCGTCATAGACGACAGGGAGGCCATGGTGATGTTCATGCTGGCATTGGGTATGGTGCCCTATTCAAAACAATAATAGTGCAAACAATTGAAATAACTGACTTCATATATTCAGAGCAAACAACCTGTAAGATTATGACAAAAAAAATCAATAAACTTTGCAGCATATTTACAAAAAAGTCTGAACAATCTGAGAAACAAATTATGGATAAAAAGTAAAGCCATGTTTCAGAATTCTTGCCAAAAATTGAAAGGTGAAAAGTACTTTATAGAAAATTGTATCAAATTGTCACCACTGTAGACCATAATAGACTCATCCAGATCAATGCATGGTAGAGTATACTAAAGTTACATAGGGGTGAAAGGGTTAAGCCATGCATAGAGGGATGCATGGCTTCCTTCTATAATCAAGCCATGATTATTTGTGAGTACATTACAACAGGTATATAGATGTGGAATCATCTCCTAGAAGATTCTGTTATGTTTAAACCTGGAGCCCGGCATGCAATACAGTCCCATAATGTTCGCTGTCAGTGTTAAAGAGTATACTGTCTTTTTCAGCTTGTATATTTGAAGAACAGAGAGGAATTATCCTATACCCCTGGTATGGTTGTGAGATAGGTTCAAGTTTTCAGGGTCATTTAGGTGAACGCTAATTGCCATTGAACCAATCATTGTGATGATGCAGTGAAGCCAAATGGATAACAAAATTGTCTGTTTTTGATTATCCAGGTGAGCAATGCAATCCTTTGGGCATCTTGTTTTTTTTATACATATTTTTAAACATTTTGGACTTTTAAAACTATTTTTTTATAACCAAATATAAGATCTCTTCGTGGTTAGTTTGTGTGAAGGCTTGCCAATGATTCAATATGTTTAGCTTTATTTTATATGAAGGTTCATTTAGGGTCAAACTTTGACGCAGTGAAGCCATAACTGAAAATGTGTTTTTTTTCATTTATTGACATTTTTAACTGTTTGATTTTGGACCTTTTTCAGATTTTTATTTCTCAAGGCGTGCCATAATGATTATATTTTTAAGCTAGAATGCTTATATTTTGCATGGAAGTTCTCTGGACATCAAACACTGATGCTATAGCTAGCAAAAACTGGAACGCTTTGTCAATGCTTTAATACATATATAAATCAATGCATTTATGGATTAATGCAGCTTCCTTATACCATCCTCGATATCCAGGGGTTACACTCACGTTTGCTCTCTACACCCCTGGAATATGCCATGGCAAAATTGAAGGCTAGGTGTGTGCCACCTTGTTGATTTGATGTACATCTTAACAATCTCACGGTCACGTAAAGGTAAAAATTGACAGGCTTTGAAGTCGGGTGTCTCTCCTTTGCAGGTAAAGGACAGGTATCAGCCTAGGGATTGGTCAGGGTTTTTTGTAACGGAGACCAATCAAACAGCTAGCCGCGTGCCTTCAATTTTGCCATGACATATTCCAGGGGTGTAGAGAGCGAAAGTAAGCATAACCCCTGGATATCGAGGATGACCTTATACATGTAATTTATGCAGCTCACTCAATTACAAAAAAAAGTAAGAGGTTGAGGCTCATGCATGTACTGACTTGATTTTGGGACAAGGTAAAACCTGAGTACCCTTACATTTGAAAGTATACCTGGAATACCAAAAATCATATTGGTATCACTAATCAGCCAATTTCACATTTATAACAAGTATAATATGTTCAATGGACTGAACATTTCTTCATGAGTGGTTTGAAATGTAGGTTTTGTACTAATGTTAGAATGCAGAAATTCATTTTGAATTAATTAAAAACTTTAAATTGCATGCTAAATCTCATTATTTCATTACAATTAATACATTAATTAAAAAATTGTACATTAATATTCACAAACAGTCAAATGTTGCAGTTGGTCACTTTTCAAATTTGAATTCCCAACAGTGACATTTTTTCTATCATCAGTTACACACATTTTCCCATCATACAACATTTCTTTTCTGAAATATATATGACAACTTTAAAAGTGAACATTTATTCCATATATGCATTAAGGTACATGAAAAAGTTGCCTTTTCACCCTTAAACAAATCTCTAACTTGAGTAAGACTACTGCTATATACACATGCTTCTGTATGCAGTCCATTGTCAATAGGAATATATCACATGCAATACACTCGTATATACATGTAGGTCTCTGATATTATAATTTAAATTGCTATACATATATAAATATATGCACTTGTTCAAAATCAAATCGTCAAAATTGGGTTAACTTTAATAAATAGTAGAATGAGGGTCATAGCTTACTTTCTGTTTTCGTTTTGAAAAAATTTAGATTAAAGTTGTTCATAAAATAAAGTTGATGCGTCATTGGCAATTAAGCCATTATAACCACCTTTAATACATTGTAGTCTCCATAAAAATCCATTTTAAAGAAGGCAAGCAGCATTCACGGAAGTGGCAAGAACATGTTTGGGGAAACTTGTTGGGAAAAAAAATACATCTACTTTTTCTTTAGATTTTTATACAGTAATACCTGGTAGCCTGTTGGGAAAATTAAATTTACTTTCTGTTTTGATTTGGAAGTCATATATGCAATATATATGATACGGCGAATAACCTAAAAATAAATTGTTGTATACTTTGATATGAAAGTAGGCAGAAATGAGATTAAAATAAACAACTGAAATTAGAACAACAATAGTTTTTATCTAATCAAATATCAGTTCATTGTATTCACATGACATTCACTGTGAGCTTAACTGCGCACTAATCAGAGTAACTTCCCTGTTACTTTGGTTTTCGTACTGACTACCTATAGAATATATGTAAATAGCACCACCGATGAATATACCATTGAATTATTTCATTAGCTTCGATAAAAATACGTTAATGATGGTAATACAACATTCTGGGCGATAAAATACGACATAGTTCTGTTTTAAGTAGAATGTAAACAATTATTTTTTAAGGTTATACATAGGCCTATTGTACGCGTCAGCAATATACAATTTGTACACATGCAGCTGTCAAATATTGTTTAAAATTTACGGATTTAGGTCCAAAACGAATGTGTCCGACCACTAGGTTTAAAAATCATTAATAAATATACATAGCTCAACATATATATCATCAATATCTTATCAAATATAAAATCTATCAAAACACTTCTTCATACAATTGTATATGTCAACATAGGCCTATATCACGTGCACGTTACCAAGGGATATAGATTCATAAAGCTATATGTATGTACTTACAACAAGCATACTCATCTTGCCTTCTTCCGGTTCGCCTTCGGCGGTCTGAAAATATATACGTGTTACACTGTGTATTAACGAAAAAATATGGCAACTCTAGCTGACTGACAATCTAAAACGAAAGTAAACGTCATAAGTCGGAAACTCCAATCACGGGGTATTACGTAGAGTTTATTAATCACGTGTACATATAACCTAAATATAGACTTGATTGCGTCGCTACCCGTTTAATACACATAATATTTTCAGCGAGACGACGGAGTTTTACAAGAATATATTAACAATTCAACTGCTTTAAAGACCTCAGTTCTCAAAAGCCCATTTCAGACAATCATCCTCGATATCCAGGGGTTACGCTCACCTACGCTCTCTGTATAGTTATATAATTAATTACCACGCATGATAAAATGATAACGTTTTCGGGATATGATATAAACCACACATACTGAAGTACGTACTTGTAGATGTGTACACACATACAGTATAGGAGATAGTACCAAGGAATAAGATTACGTGATAGTACACTTCTTTCCAATAGGTAACTGAACACACATTGTCACGATCTCGTTATCATTTTAAACCAGAGGGGTCGATGGGCCTGCAACGCTCACCTTACGCAATTATGACAAAACTTGTTTTTCCATTATAATATTACGAATATTTCCTTATGTTGGGTGCTACCTCTTTGTCCGTCCTTCCTTTATATAACATTCTATTTCCTATGGTCTTAGGAGGCTCCAATTTCTTTTATCTCATTTTAATGGATGTTGTATAGCAAAGACAATATTCTCCAATCAACTGGTTCAGAGGAGTTGATTTTTAAAGACTTTTTGATATTTGCTCGTCAGCCCGAGTGGTGGTACCAGCTTTCTTTATACAGCAATATATGCCAAGGTCACGAGAACTAAGTATATACATCGAAAGCAAATTTGATTGGAATCCATATGTATTTGTATGTGGTTAAAGGGTATTTATTTCATAGTGATGGGGCCACATCCAAGAGCCAATCCTGAAGTTCCCAGGGGCAGGGACGGACTCAAAGTCCAAACATGGAAGCATAAATGGGCTTGCCTTTTCATGCCTAGTAATAGCTTTTATTTTTTGCTCAAACTCAATTTCTTGGTTGAATAATGAATCATTCGTAAGATTTTGAAGAGACTTAGAGACGAATAATGTCTTCATTGTTTAAACTTTATTTTTTTATGGTTTTACATAATTTTAGCTATTTACCAGAAATTTTGGTTTAAGCACAGAAGCCGTGCTTGAGCATGATTAAAGTTTCTATGAAGACGGGCCCTGTACTAGTAGCGTCTGAAGACAAAGGTTGAACAGCTTATAACATCTTCAACATCACACTCTGATTGCTATTCAAAATAGCAGGTCGATAAGTGTGATCAGGCTCTGGGTTGTATAGGTCAGAACTCTTATATCAGCTAGCATAATAAACAAAAAAAGATGCACAAAGGGCCTGAATCACTCACCTGATCATTTCTTTATCTAAACTAAACACGAATTAGGACAGTTTCCACTAACTCGAGACCTTAGTGACTACCTTAGATATCTTATTGGTGCAAGGAATTTAAATAAATTTGATAAGCGTAATGTATGTAGTTAAATAGAATTGACCTAATGAAAATTATAAATAATTAAAAATGTCTCATAAGATGACAGTTAGAACTAAGAATCGATTAAATGAAATTATTTAAAGACACGTCCACGATCACAAGGACAGTGTTCGGGTGAATACCATCCTCGATACGCTCACTTTCGCTCTCTGCACGCTAGAAATTGAAAATGTTACGGCATACTAGAGACGACGGGACCATCTCTGATTGTAAAATGTCGAGAAGTGACAACGTAACGTTTGGTTAGGACCATGAGAAGTACAAAGATTTGTCACAATTTGCCTGGTGAAAATTGAGAAGTAATAAAAATGGTATCAGCCAATCAGAATCCAGAACCGACATCTTGGATTTAAATCAGCCTGAAAAACGGGTCGAAATGTTCTATAAAGTCTCGGATCTCTGTCTCCAAGGAAAGTATCGTTCTTCATTTATACAATGTTGAATCCCTTTTGACTTGAGATATTTCATGCCAAGTTGGGTCTAAAATCCGCTCCCTCGTATTTCAGAAGTAGTCCTATAAGGATTACCCGACACTTCCCCTTTTCGGATCCTGCCCACTACCCCTGATGTATAACAGTGATCATTAAATTGTAACCCTATTTATCTGGCATCGGTCACTCAAAAGTTGGTTAACCAGCGGCTAGGGAACATTTTAGATATTAATTCAACAAAACCAAGAACAATTGAAGCAACGTATTAATCGTGAGTTCAAGCGAAATAAATTTGCCTTCAAAAGGAACGTAATTCGATACGGACGTCATCTAAGTAACGGAAGTTATTGAAAACGAAAGTATTCAGAAAGGATTGTAATTCAAACCGAAAGTATTCAAAACATAAAATTCAAACCGAAAGTATTCAAAACTATGATATTCAAAACGAAAGTATTCAAAACATGAAATTCAAAACGAAAGAATCCAAACATGAAATTCAAAACGAAAGCATTCAAAACCTCTAATTCAAACCGAAAGTATTCAAAACATGAAATTCAAAAACGAAAGTATTCAAAACATGTAATTCAAACCGAAAGTATTCAAAACATGAAATTCAAACCGAAAGTATTCAAAATATGAAATTCAAACCGAAAGTATTCAAAACATGAAATTCAAAACGAAAGTATTCAAAACATGATAATCACCAAACCAAAAGTATTCAAAACATGAAATTCAAAACGAAAGTATTTAAAACATCTAATTCAAACAGAAAGTATTCAAAACATGTAATTCAAACCGAAAGTATTCAAAGCATGAAATTCAAAACGAAAGCATTCAACAGAAACGTTATTCAAAACGAAAGAGGGATAGTCTCAGAATCCACCTATTTGTGACACCTATTATCCAATGATGAAAAAGCAACAATCATAATTTCAACCGAGATCGTAATATAGTTTAATTTAGTATATCTTTGCCAGTGAACTATTTAAACTTAATAAAACTGAGTTATCCCGTGTACTTCTACTTTTAACTTTGATAATCCGCAAGTACTGATCATAGTTTTCTCTTACCCTGGACAGGTGTATCCGCACTTTTACCGGTGTGAGATTTCCTTTTCTCCCACACCTGACAGATTTATCTCCCGTTTTGCCGGTGCTAGATTTATCTGTCTCCGCCCTAGGGCTGAGACGGGGGGATTCCCTTATTCATAACAATGGTGTGACGTCACTTCAACAACACAATGACGTCACGTCAACAATCCATCAACGACACGTCAACCCTGAATTTAGCATGTAACGTTGTCATTACATTGTGTATATGATACACATTGGAAAAACAGGCTAAGAGAAAAAAGAATCATTCACCCCCTTGTGGGTAAGATAGAGGAATCTAAACCCTCGGGAAAAGATTCTTCAGTTGCCAAACACTCGGCAAAGCCTCGTGTTTGGCAACTTAAGAATCTTCCCCCTCGGGTTGAGATTCCCCTATCTCACCCCCAAGGGGGTGAATGATTCTATATTTCTCCCACACCTGACAGATTTATCTCCCGTTTTGCCGGTGCTAGATCTATCTGTCTCCGCCCTAGGGTTGAGACGGGGGGATTCCCCTATTTATAACAATGGTATGACGTCATTGCAACAATACAATGACGTCACGTCAACAATCCATCGACGTCACGTCAACCCTGAATTTAGCATGTAACGCTATCATTACATTGTGTATATGATACACATTGGGAGAACAGGGTAAGAGAAAAAGAATCATTCACCCCCTTGTGGGTAAGATAGGGGAATCTCAACCCTCGGGGAGAGATTCTTAAGTTGCCAAACACTCGGCAAAGCCTCGTGTTTCGCAACATAAGAATCTTCCCCCTCGGATTGAGATTCCCCAATCTCATCCCTAAGGGGGGGGGGGGAGAGATTCTATTAATCTAGAATGTCCTCCAGAGGGTCTCTGAAAAAAATGCGCTCTAGGTTTGGTGTGCACCTCAATGATTTGTTTGTGTATGGAATTATGTCCACATACTTTGTCTGTCCTTTTACTCCAGAGTTGTATTTCCCCTACGTATACAACATTGCGTCTTCATGCCTGTCCTAGTGTCTCATTTCAAATGGTATCTTCTCTACATTTGGTTTTTAGAGAGAGAGACAGACAGAGACAGATAGACAGTCAGACAGACAGAGAGAGAGAGAGAGAGAGAGAGAGAGAGAGAGAGAGAGAGAGAGAGAGAGAGAGAGAGAGAGAGAGAGGAATGTGTGTGGTTCATTTGAAATGTTATACATACCTTCATTACAGACCAACCTTACATATGTATCCAAAACGCAAGTAGGATAAACCCAGGTGTAAAGTACAACTACTAAAATCACGTGTGTATTATATCTTATCATGTTGTTAGAGTCTCTGAAAAAATGCGCTCTAGGTTTGGTGTGCACCTCAATGATTTGTTTGTGTATGGAATCATGTCCACATACTTTGTCTGTCCTTTTACTCCAGAGTTGTATTTCCTCTACTTATACAACATTGCGTCTTCATACCTGTCCTAGTGTCTCATTTCAAATGGTATCTTCTCTACATTTGGTTTTTAGAGAGACAGACAGACAGAGACAGAGAGAGACAGACAGGGATACAGATAAACAGTCAGAGAGAGAGAGAGAGAGAGACAATCAGACAGACAGAGAGCGAGAGAGAGAGTGAGGGAGGAATGTGTGTGTTTCATTTGAAATGTTATACATACCTCCATTACAGACCAATCTTCCATATGTATCCAAAACGCAAGTATTCAAAACGAAAGTAGGTTAAACCCAGGTGTGAAGTGCAACAACTAAAATCACGTGTGTATTATATCTTATCGTGTTGTATATATAGGTTTTGACGTAGGGACTAATAATAGCCTGGTCTGGAATATCTTCCATAGGCTTACATATAGATGTTTCGGACTATCGTTACTCCAGGCGTCTGTCTAGTCTAAATTGTAAGCCTTATTTAGTTGCCGAAAGACGATGATTATAATCAAATTCACTACCACATCTGTCTTTAAATTTTAGCCATTCTTCACTTTCACTATTCAGATTTCCCCGAAAAAAGTAGCCTCGTCTACAGACTTGCCCGTCGTCTGTAGGTTATTTGAATAATCTAAAGAGAAAAAACACACGTTCTTATACAGATGATCACTTGGAAGTCCGAGTTCTCAAGCAGGGAGGAGATAAGCTGATAGTAAAATGCAGCCGGTTAATTATTCCTTGAAAAAACTTAGGGACTGGTAGCAAATCTACCTTGTCTCCTTAGCTTCCAGATCGGTTGAGAGACTTGTTATAATACCTGTAGTATATATACTGTGTAAGTGATCCGAAATATACATGACGAATCATGGACTTCTAAGTGATTACTCCAGGTTGGTGCAGTGGATAGTGCACTTGCCTTTCACCAATGACAAAGACATTTGTTTTATTCTCATAAACAACACAGTGTCGAGGCGACCGGGGTTCGATTTTCCGACCGGACGTGAAAAAGGTATGGAGTCACCTGCCCGACCACGTTGGTTTTCTCCAGGTACTCCGATTTCCCCCCACATTAAGACCCCCGCGCTTACATCCGGGCCAATAAGAGTGATTAATATAAGTTGAAATAAATTGTTTCAGAATGATAAAGGGAAAACTTCGGAAACACTCGCTGTTACAAGAAGAAACAATATTCATATTTTTAATCACACAATTAATGAATATTTCAAAACAACAGTGAAACATTTTTTTCCAGCCTCATATGGTATTCGCTCTCGTTAACCCGGATTGAAGCACGCAGAGGGTCTCAATAAAGGAAGAAACCGGAGTACCAGACAAAAACCCACGTAGTTGGGCACAGGAACATCTGGGCCAATAAGAGCGATTAATATAAATTGAAATAAAATGTTTCATGATTGTTGTAAAATAACTTAAGTTATATTTATTTAATATTAGAATATAATTATCCGTGGCTATATGTTATCGAGATATCTCTTCACATGAAAGTTACCGTCGGCGTGCAAGTATTTTGATTAAGACACAACGATCAACTTTGCCGTAAAAATTTTTTTGACCAATGACAACGTACTCGTTAGCCAAGAACACTCCTGGCTGATGTTACAAACGTACCATATGTTGATCTTTCCTTTGCAGCGTTCAGATTTTATGTATCTTGACTATCTTCGAAACGGATTTCATATCACAGAGATTATCATTTGAAGAAATGGATTATTATCCAGCTGTTTTTTTCCAATCACAGGAAAAACGGAGACGAAAAACATAACCGGACATCTACGTATACATAGAGTATATCTGTGGAATAATTGCATGATTGACGGAAGGAAACTATTCGAATTACTAAAGTAATTCAAAATGAAGCAATGTACACCAAGCAGATCTTAGCCTTTAAAGTGAAACGCCAAATAACAAAAATATTTACAAGAACCAAGAAAGGAGACATTCATCTAGTACATTGTACGACATTTTTAACCACACATTAATAAAAATCTATTTTTGTTATTCTTCGTGCAAAAAAACAGACCATATATAAACTATATTTACGTAGATTCTGAAAGATGGTACGTACGTATACAAGAAATTCCCTATATATCAGTCACCAACCATATAAAGCTACTAATTCACTTGAATTATTCTGCAAATGGAAAAATGTACATCCACGAGAGAATGAAATGTATAATACAAAAGTAAATATTATCAACTACGAAAAATACCACAAATTGGCATTTAACATCTATTTTGCTATAGAAAACTGTATTAAAACAGAAAAGAATGATGTCATATAGCTCAATGAAACACACACATTCCTCNCCCCCCCCCCCCCCCCCCCCCCCCCCATCTCTCTCCTCTCTCTCTCCTATTACTTTTCTTCTTTTTAAATTTTCTATATCTGATCAGTCGCTGCCTGCAAAATTTTTGAAAGCAGACAGATTTACGTAAGTTTCATTACTTTTCTGAATCCTTGTTGCATAAGATAAATTTGTTTTATGAAATGTCATTGTGAAATAGAATACAGTTTAATAAAAATATCAACACTGTGTAAATCTGCTCTCTGAACAACATTTTCTATTGGGACTGACGTCGCACGACGCTTAATTTTTCTCTGTAACGTTTAGGCTTACAATATTATAGTGGCATGGATTACTAACAAAAATATTAAGCGTGCAAATTGTTTGACCGATTAATGCTTCTATATCGCAATTTTTTTATGGTAGTTAAATGGCAATGATTATCAAGTACCATTACCAATTAAATCAATTTACCTACATATATTAAAAAGAGTTATTTCCCTTGTATTGTGCCTCAAAGCACATTATTTTGCGGTCGATCGTGACCACTCCCGCTACAGTGTTACTTTGTATTAGGCCTACTTCAAAATGTACGTAACGTCACATCGGTACATTCGATTTTGTTCCTAGATGACCCACTTCCTTGGCAAATAAAATAGATTCTTGTGTCTGAAAATAAAGATTGTTTTACCTGTATCTACTTTCATTTTCGATACACTGAACGTATGTATAAATACGAGGTGTTCCTAACAGTAAAAATACATTCGTTGACTGCGTGTTTCAGAAAATCACAAACATCCTGATATCATGCCACCAAAACGTAAAAATAGAGTAGCAGCAAAGCGACCCAAGACATCCAAGACGAACACAGCAGGTCCAACGGCGGCGAAAAAAAGAAAACAGGCCCCGGCGACTGACAAAGCAGGTCCAACTGCGGCGAAGAAAAGAAAACATGCCCCGGCGACTGACACAAAAGGAGCATCGGGTACAACTTGAGTTAGTACCACAGGGACTTGAGAATTTGTTACAGCTTATATTTGGACCTAAACTAGGGTGTTTAGAGTAATTTTACATGTTTTAGGGGTGTAGATCGACTTTCGGTAAAAATGACACCCCTATATAGCGAAAGTCGATCTAATCACCTTAGTTTAGGTTCGATTATATAGCTGTAACAAAATCTGAGGTCCTTGTGGTTAGTATAGGGTGCACCTGCACTGTGAGGGTTGGGTTTGTTAAGGTTCAACAAGCCCCCTAAAAGATGCTGTATCAGTGGCGTTTTTAGGATATTTGGAAGAGGGGGCGTAGAATCAAGTTTTTTGTTGTTGTTTTTTTTAAAAGGGGGGGGGGGCGTACGCCCATTACGCCCTCACCTGGACCCGCCACTGGCTCATTGCAAAAAATACATAGCCACGTTAACCACGGACTTAGATCTAATCTAATTCCGTGGGTTAACGTAGTCAAAAATAACTTCAGGCATTAAGACTGATGTCTTCAAAAAAATAGCTCACTGGACTTATAACATAAATTTATATGGCAATCTCTTTTGCGACCCAACTGAGTGACCCATAATTTAAAGTTTATTTATATACCTAGGTAACATGCGGGGGTTAATTTATTTCTCTTCTACTAGCTGTTGAGTGTTTGTGCCTCCTGCTGATGCTGACTGCCAGGGTCAAATTTATTTATGGTCAGTTTAATCTAGTCCTAATCATTTTAGCAGGATTTCAGCAGCATCAACAATTTTTAATGTTATCAACATTTTTAATGTAGCAGGATTTTCCTTAGGGACAGTTGGTAAGGTAGTTCAGCTTAGTTAGAGTCAAAGGAGGAGAAGAGAGCTCATGGTTAGGGAGTTGAGTAAAGGAGTCTTGAGGAAGGAGGTTGAGTATTAGGGAGACCGAGTTGATAGGTCTAGAGATATAAAGGAGAGTTAGAAAGTTAAAAGTGAGAAGTAGGAAGTGAGTAATAATAAAGGTTTAAGTTTGTAGATCCATGCAGTTTTACAGTTTATTGTTGGAAATGAGTCTGGAGTGGAGAGATTGAGTTCACAATGGTGAAGACTTGTATATTTTATGACGGATTAAGAGACTTGTGTTGTAAATAAAATGTTAAAATAAATGTACTATTTTGTTGTTCAGTTAATTTGAACAAATTGAAAACACCAATAACCTTGAAATTATGTTGGTTATTCCATTAAAATTTATAATATATTTGTGTATTTATTTTACATGAATAACAAATTATATATTTGGTGCCATTCATACTTTATTAAAACAATATATCATATTTTCAACATTCAAGGTTGTTGGAGGTAATCAGGAGATTTTCTTAACCAGAAAAAAAAAAAAAATGAAAAAAATAAAATAAATGTTTTTCCTACCTACCTAGCTACCCTATTCTTTTTGGAGCCGAAACAGGAAGCACACATATATTTTTAGTTGGCCTTATAAACATTGAAGCTGAAAGGTAGACAATGTAACAAGTCTAGCTCTTTTTACATTTTATAGGAAGTTTAAGTAGTATTTATTGTCTATGGTTCTATGTTATGCAGACATTTTACATGTTATAGGAAGTTTAAGTAGTATTAATTGTCTATGGTTCTATGTTATGCGGTCGTTTTACATTTTATAGGAAGTTTAATTAGTATTTATTGTCTATGGTTCTATGTTATGCGGACGTTTTACATTTTATAGGAAGGTTAAGTAGTATTTATTGTCTATGGATCTATGTTATGCGGACGTTTTACATTTTATAGGAAGATTAAGTAGTATTTATTGTCTATGGTTCTATGTTATGCAGACATTTTACATTTTATAGGAAGTTTAAGTAGTATTTATTGTCTATGGTTCTATGTTATGCGGACGTTTTACATTTTATAGGAAGGTTAAGGAGGATTTATTGTCTATGGTTCTATGTTATGCGAACGTTGTACATTTTATAGGAAGTTTAAGTAGTATTTATTGTCTATGGTTCTATGTTATGCAGACATTTTACATGTTATAGGAAGTTTAAGTAGTATTTATTGTCTATGGTTCTATGTTATGCAGACATTTTACATGTTATAGGAAGTTTAAGTAGTATTTATTGTCTATGGTTCTATGTTATGCAGACATTTTACATGTTATAGGAAGTTTAAGTAGTATTTATTGTCTATGGTTCTCTGTTATGCGAACGTTTTACATTTTATAGGAAGTTTAAGTAGTATTTATTGTCAATGGTTCTATGTTATGCGGACGTTTTACATTTTATAGGAAGTTTAAGTAGTATTAGTTGTCTATGGTTCTATGTTATGCGGACGTTTTGCATTTTATAGGAAGTTTAAGTAGTATTTATTGTCAATGGTTCTATGTTATGCGGACGTTTTACATTTTATAGGAAGTGTAAGTAGTATTTATTGTCTATGGTTCTATGTTATGCGGACGTTTTATATTTTATAGGAAGTTTAAGTAGTATTTATTGTCTATGGTTCTATGTTATGCGGACGTTTTATATTTTATAGGAAGTTTAAGTAGTATTTATTGTCAATGGTTCTATGTTATGCGGACGTTTTACATTTTATAGGAAGTTTAAGTAGTATTAATTGTCTATGGTTCTATGTTATGCGGCCGTTTTGCCGTTTTTTGACTTGCTTAACCTGCAGCTGGTTATGTACCTTTATAATAGCTTATGTACAAGTTCAATATTTAAATTACATATATGTATATATTCCAATTTTTGATAAGGGTTTTTGAATATGACTTGCCAGGGTGTTGACATTTAGGTGACTATTACATCTTTTAGGGAGCTTGTTGAACCTTAAATAACTGATACCAAATCCATATCTTTTAGTTAAAGCATCTGTTGAGCAGTTTCTATATAGAGCTCCAAAGATGAAATTTGCTGAATAAACAAATTAAGAGAAAAATTAAACACCAATGCGATTTACGTTGTTTATCCACAAATGGTTCAAAGTCTTTGATTTACCTGAACGGTCTATTAGTAATCACTTCCTGAATTTTTAAAATGACAGCTTCCTAATCTTGTCATCATTGTTGAACAAAGCCACTGCTTGCCATGATTCTGTGTCTGTCTATTTATAGCACATGTACATTGTATAAACCGATACCACTAAGTTCCAAAAAGATGTAGAATCGAGGTGGTATCTTCTCTGTCTTGGAGAAATCAAGGATAATCCCTGATGTATCCAACTGCATGTGTATCGCTGAGCCTATGTTTCCTCTGGTTTTTCACGAGACTTTGACATTTTGACAAGATAGATGTCCACATCAGACATCTTTTTGTCCAAATGTCTAAGTCTGGTGTCAGGGCTAGGTGAAACTCAGGCTAGTGTATCGCAACAGGTGACTGATGTGCCCACCCCCTAAAGTCAGGTTTTCTTACATGTCTTCTGCAAAGTGGACATTGGCAAAATTGATTCGCTGCCCCAGTTACAACATTTGGGATCTTTTTCTTCTCTCTCTTTCTTTCCCATCTACTGTCTTTCCAATGATGTCTCCCGAAGTATGCACCCGTCTTCATATGACCCTGGATATTTGCCTGTACATTAACCCCCATAAAAAAGAAAAACATGATTACAGTGATCAGAAGTATCTGTTAATAATTTTACATACCTAATCAATTAGAAAATATAACACATTTTGGAATTATTTGAACTTAATTAAAAAATAAATTACCACCAATATGTGATTGTAATTTGTAAGTTTGTGACTTCATTATTCTATTGTTAGGTTCTGGTGGAGCTGCTGCAGGTAGCTTAGACCTGTCCTCTTTCATCACAGAAAAAAGCTGGAGACGTGAGCTCAAGATGGAATTTACCAAAGACTACTTCAAGGGTATCGAGTCAAAGCTCGCGGGTGATTATGCGAACAAAACACAGGTGTTCCCACCTAAGGACCACATCTTTCATGCATTTAATGTAACGTCGTTTGACAAGGTATGTGGGAAAACCCCGACTATAAGTAGGAATCAAGTACAATGTTGCTACTGTTAATGTTATAATGAAGCATTAAATAAGCATTAGAATGCGAGTCACAACTCTGTTCAAGCCTGTGTTGCAAGTTCATACTGCTATCTGTTATGGTACAAATCTTTTAACACATCAAGCGTGTTAATAGTAAGGTAGTACTACAATAATAGCTCTCTCAAGGTCACTAATGCTACTCATTGCCTTACAGGTGAAAGTTGTAATTCTGGGACAGGATCCGTACCATGACGACGGACAGGTAAGGAAACTATATTGGCCATTTTTCAAAGCTTGATAATATGTACAATAATTATACTGACGCTAAATCATGTAATGCCTATGTAGATGTTCAATAAGATTCATCAGTTTGGAAATATGCGATATCAAAGGTTTACTTTCTACACAAACAATGTACGTATTGAATGTGTCACAACATTTCAAGACATGCTGATCCCTTTGTCAAGCTAGGACTATGTCTTGGCTTGACAAAGGGACCAGTCGGGTGAAAAGTTGTGACACATTTAGTAGTACATTGTTTGTGTAGGAAGTAAAACTTTAATATCACTTGTGTAGATGTTTCATTTAAATGTTACAAATCATAGATAAATGTACATTTTTGAAATGTTTGTTTGAAAATGTGAACCATGGTCAGTGGTTTTTAGTATCCTTATAACTGTTTTTTTTATTCATTTCTATAATGTTTTTGTTCTTGCCAATAGTCTTTTATAGAAGTATAAACATTATTTAGCCAATTCGATACAAGTCCTTTTGAACTAACCTTTAATTTGAATGCAACTGTATAATTAAATCTTTGATTTGAAGATATTATTTGTGAGTGCACCACTTTTGTTGAATCTGTTTCTTTTAGGAGAGTTTAGGTGTATAGTGAAGTTCATTCCAACAATTATCAATTTGAATGACTTGTCCAGGATGATATAACACTTTAAATGGTACTTTTCAAGACATCATTAGAAATATCAGTAAGAGTATTATCTGATTTTCGATCAGCTGTGTTTCTTATAAAGTTTGTGGAAATGTCCACTCATTTAAACTGATCTTGCCAACAGGAGTATTAGCCATACTCAGAAAATTGAACAGTCAATTTCATGATGTCATAGCTATATGTATACCTCAAAAGCCCTGTGAAGGGTGAAAGCAGCTAGTTTTTTGAGTCGGTCGTTAAATCTTATTTTCCTATATATGTATAGGTATAGATCATACTGTAAAATCACATATTTTTGTCTGGCCCAAATTTCGTGGTTTCCCTAAAAAACACCATTTCGTGGGTACTCGAATCTGCGGATTACGAGTACCCACTCAAACAGAGAATTCCTTTATATAAAATTTGTAAGTTTTTCATGGACCTATGAATACATGTATAAAGATCTAGATTACCCATGAAATAAAAATCCAGGCAAAAATTGTGATTTCACAGTTTCTTCCCAATGTGTCTATTAGGTAATATCTAGTGTTGGTATCCTCAATCTGCAGTTTGCTGGAGTTCAAATGCCTCCGAGCATATGTTATTTGGTCTTTGTTGCTCACTATTATTTTTTTTTCTTTTATTTCATATTTATGATAGAGCACTACTAATCACTTTTGACATGCTGTATCTAATACCAAATTCTGAAGCTCCTGTCCAGTCACCATTTGTTTTGTCTTGTGTTAATTTTTTCCACACGGACTGCATATACCAAATTCGTTTGAGCAAACTCTATAAATGTTTTTTTGCGTTGCGAATGTTTCTTTGCATATTTTTTCTTTTCAGGCCATGGGAATGGCATTTTCTGTCCCACCAGGAGTGAAACCACCGCCTTCATTGAAGAACATATATAAAGAGCTAACCAATGATGACAAAATTAAGAAGTTCACGACCCCTACTCATGGTAATTTGGAGGCTTGGGCGAAGAGGGGAGTGTTTCTGCTCAATGCTACACTTACAGTCGAGTAAGTAAGAACATGTAACATACATTGAAAATATCTCCTTCAAAGGTGAATAATATAGCAAAATGCGTGGACTATATCATTTAATACCTTGACCTTTTTTAGATTGTTTCTGAACACAAAGTTGTTAACTTAAGGGCCAAGAAGTACAGGCCAGCTTAGAGGGTAGGGATTGATTGTCACGGTGTTTTATTTTGTTGACATCCTATTGACAGCCGAGGATATTTAAAGGCTGTGTCTCCATGTGTGTAACGAATATGTGTGTATGTGTGCTGGAGGCTGGGTATGTTAGTAAATTAACCTCCTTCTGAAAACATGGATCTGATGTCTACTTTATAATGCTACCTCGTTAGCAAATTAACCTCCTTGTGATAGCATGGATCTGATGCCTACTTTTTAATGCTACCTCGTTAGTGAATTAACCTCCTTGTGCTGACATGGATCTGATGTCTACTTTATAATGCTACCTCGTTAGCAAATTAACCTACTTGTGATAGCATGGATCTGATGCCTACTTTTTAATGCTACCTTGTTAGTGAATTAACCTCCTTGTGATAGCGTGGATCTGATGCCTGTTATATAATGCTACCTCGTTAGTGAATCAACCTCCTTGTGATGGCGTGGATCTGATGCCTACTTTATAATACTACCTCGTTACTGAATTAACCTCCTTGTGATAGCATTATAATATAGGCATCAGATCCAATTGCTACCTCGTTAAGGAATTAACCTCCTTGTGATGGCGTGGATCTGATGCCTACTTTATAATGCTACCTCATTAGTGAATTATCCTCCTTGTGATGGCATGGATCTGATGCCTACTTTATAATTCTACCTCATTAGTGAATTAACCTCCTTGTGATGGCATGGATATGATGCCTACTTTATAATGCTACCTCGTTAGTGAATTACCCTCCTTGTGATGGCATGGATCTGATGCCTACTTTATGATGCTACCTCGTTAGTGAATTAACCTCCTTGTGATGTCGTGGATCTGATGCCTACTTTATAATGCTTCCTCATTAGTGAATTAACCTCCTTGTGATGGCATGGATATGATGCCTACTTTATAATGCTACCTCGTTTGTGCATTAACCTCTTTGTGATGGCGTGGATCTGATGCCTTCTTTATAATGCTACCTCGTTAGTGAATTACCCTCCTTGTGATGGCGTGGATCTGATGCCTACTTTATAATGCTTCCTCGTTAGTGAATTAACCTCCTTGTGATGGCATGGATATGATGCCTACTTTATAATGCTACCTCGTTTGTGCATTAACCTCTTTGTGATGGCGTGGATCTGATGCCTACTTTTTAATGCTACCTCGTTTGTGAATTAACCTCTTTGTGATGGCGTGGATCTGATGCCTACTTTATAATGCTACCTCGTTTGTGAATTAACCTCTTTGTGATGGCGTGGATCTGATGCCTACTTTATGATGCTACCTCGTTAGTGAATTAACCTCCTTGTGATGGCATGGATCTGATGCCTACTTTATGATGCTACCTCGTTAGTGAAATAACCTCCTTGTGATGGCGTGGATCTGATGCCTACTTTATAATGCTACCTCATTAGTGAATTAACCTCCTTGTGATGGCGAGGATCTGATGCCTACTTTATAATGCTACCTCGTTAGTGAATTAACCTCCTTGTGATTGCGTGGATCTGATGCCTACTTTATAATGCTACCTGGTTAGTGAATTAACCTCCTTGTGATGGCGTGGATCTGATGCCTACTTTATAATGCTACCTCGTTAGTGAACTAACCTCCTTGTCATGGCGTGGATCTGATGCCTACTTTATAATGCTACCTCGTTAGTGAACTAACCTCCTTGTGATGGCGTGGATCCGATGCCTACTTTATAATGCTACCTCGTTAGTGAATTAACCTCCTTGTGATGGCGTGGATCTGATGCCTACTTTATAATGCTACCTCGTTAGTGAATTAACCTCCTTGTGATAGCGTGGATCTGATGCCTGTTATATAATGCTACCTCGTTAGTGAATTAACCTCCTTGTGATGGCGTGGATCTGATGCCTACTTTATAATGCTACCTTGTTATTGAATTAACCTCCTTGTGATGGCGTGGATCTGATGCCTACTTTATAATGCTACCTCATTAGTGAATTAACCTCCTTGTGATACTTCACTGAATGCAACAATGGGCTCCTTTTGAATCATATTGTCTTGTACATGGTTCGACGTTCTATCAACAGCTAAGGTCACTTAAGGACACGACTCCATGTGTGTAATGTATGCTTGTATGTGTTCTAGAGGCGGTATGTTAGTGTATTGTGATGGTTACATCTATATGGATCTGATGCTGACTTAAAGTGCTATCGCATTAAAATACACTGTACCACGCCAAAGGCTTCCAGTATAGTATTCTTCCTGGTAACATTGTACTGACAACAGGTTATCTGGTTGTTTCCATTACCCAAAGCTAAACATTGAGCAGTGAATACAGTATTTAACTACCTGAGGACTTTGGTATGTCCCGGCCTGTGGACAGAATCCATTTTATCCCACCCTTCACAGCTGTCTCTCCCATTTTAGCCGGGAAAGATTAACTTTTTATCTCCAAGGGGGAGATAGCCTCGTGCCGATTAGCATGTGTTCATCTGTTGGTGGAGTTGTGACTGAAATAATAGGATGGGAGAAAAAAAATCATCCCCTACCTTGAGGGTGTATCGGAGAAAACTCCAACCCTCGGGGTGATATTGTTTGTTTGTCTATCCCACGGCAGAGCTTCGGGTTTGACAACCAAAGCACATCATCCCTCAGGTAGGATATTTATCTGTCACACCCTCAAGGTAAGGGAAGATCTATTAGTCTACCCCACCCACTTTGGTGAACACTCTTAGCTAAGGCCAGACCAGAGATATTACCAAGAAGGGTGCTAGGAATATCAAGGTTGGTAGGAAGTACAGAGCAAATAAAATATCCCAAATGTTGCAATGGGTGCGGTGCAGCAGTTTTATTTTGGTCATTTTGTGTCCGAAAGTAAAGGGTAGGAAAGCAAATCCTCAGATCTGCAGGGGGTTCCCACGTTAGTTACCTGATCAAATATGCAGTGGGTAACAGCAGGTGTATGTTTTTCTCAATCTCCAAACTGCAGAGATGTGGCAAGGTGGATGCAGGCAGAAGATGGAACATTATTGCTCAGAATTTTAGTATTAGTTGCTACTTCCTACCAACTTGACAAGGAGAATAGCTTTTTCGGTAAACAAGAGGTTCCGAGTCAAACACATAGCTGACCATTGATAATAATAATGATGATGATGACACGATGTTAGGTAAAGCAATACATATTGTACAGATATATTACAGAGCATGTTTGTAGGAACACTGGTGAATATGCTGAATTGTAACTGTCTATGAAAATTAAAACAATACAGATATTAATACAAAAAATGACCTATGTATTACTTAATTTCATAATATAAGTATTCAAGGTTCAGTTTTAATTATGTTATTTAGGCCTCATATTCTCTCAACATAGGCTCAAATTGATTTTTTCCTAACTTTATATCATATTACTTTATAACAAAAATGCAAGCAAAATGGAAAAAAAGGTATTTAATCCTACGACAGTTTAGGAGAATTTATTGATAAAGTAAATTATATGTTTATAACTTATCTAGAATTACCTATTATAAACCATGGTTTTTCTTTTCTCTGTATTTTCAGAGCCCACCAGCCGAACTCTCATGCCAAGTATGGCTGGCAGAAATTTACAGACAAAGTCATCCAGATTATTAGTGAGAATTGCTCTGGAGTCGCCTTTATTCTCTGGGGCAATTTTGCACATAAAAAGGAGAGTTTAATTGACGGAACAAAACACACCATTATCAAAACTGCTCATCCGTCACCTTTGTCATCTAAGAAATTTGAGAACTGTAAGTGTTTCTCACAGGCTGATGCAGCACTATTAGCAAATAAACGAGACAAAATGGACTGGTCACTGTAAAGGAACAATATTTAAATCAAGGTGTGTGAAAACGTTTTACGATTTTAATGCAAAATGTTGAATCATTGTTTAAAAATGAACTTCAATATAGCCCTGAATTAATAATATTTTTAAAGATATTCATATAGAAATAGTAATTTATATATATTATATAAAAAAGCTATGGAAAAAGGTTGTGATTTTTTAAACAAGATTATTGTGAGTGTCAAATACTTTCATGTATTTAAAATTATGCGAGTTAGTCAACCTTAGTTAAACAGTTCTTGTTATCGCTATTTCTCGGGAAGTACCTAAGGGATCTTTCTCACATTTTATATGTAGGTTCCCCATGGTCCCTAGCTGTGCAGGGCAACTTTTGAAACTGATCGGATAAACAACACGGCCAACAGGCAGCCATCTTGGATTTTGATAATGAAAGTTTGTTATCGCTATTTCTCGGGAAGTACCAAAGGGATCTTTCTCAAATTTCATATGTAGGTTCCCCTTGTTCTCTTGTTGTGTAGCAGTGCCTGAAATGGACGGTCGCCCGCTCGCCAATGGCGTTTAAAGTCTTGTTTGAGCGACCAAAAGTTGTCAAAAGTGAGGTA